AAAAAAGAGATTTAAAAAACAAAATAATAAAGAACGCTGGGCTTTGGAGCTGTCAGTCGGCGAGGTCCCAGAACGCGGCCTACGGAGTACAAAAGGCCAGCAGTTTCGGATCGGGCCAAGTGAGAAAACCAAGCGCGACACCAACACCAAAAACCGGCTGTGGGAAGAATCCCCCACCCCCTCCCTAAACCCCTTCAGTATCTCCGTCTCGTTCCTGCGTCTCTGGCCATCTCGCTCCCACACTCTCCTGCAGTGGGGCCGCCATTGGGAATTGAATTGGATTTCCAGTCAACGTTGAAATTTTAGTTTGGCTGCCTTTTCGAAGGTGTGAAGAAAAAATAAAAACACAAAGGCAACAAGAACAACAACAACAACAAGAGCGGCCGAGGCACAGCACGAAATTCTGAAAAACTCCAGGAACCAAAAGCCAAAACGAAATCAACTGAAGATCTGCAGGGAACTCTGCAGAGCAGAAAAACAAAAACAGAAAACTGGATTGGGCCTCGTTTTCCAAAGACGGCGCAAAGGCAGCACCAACTGCACAACCGGGCAGAAAGAGGAAGAGATTCTGGGATTTCACTTGCATTGTTACTGGATATGATCGGTCAAATATATACACACACATATACAATTATATATGTAGAAGGTATTCCTGGCTATGTGTGTGCGTTTTTGTTAGAAGGGAGCATCTGTTTCTTGCAACGAAGGTCTTTTGATTGGGATTCGTTTCGGGTTTTTCCTCTCGATTCTTTCAAGCGGATTGGATTGTGTTGCCCTTTTGGAGTTTTGCCACTTTGGGAATTAGGGGGAGGGTGTGTGAGAAAGGTGAAAAGTACTTGGGATAAGTAATAATAGGATAATAGATCATGAGGTTGACTTTTCTAAAATGTTCTTCATGCTATAGAATTTTTATTCATGCTGTTACCTTTCCAAAATCTGAATAGATCTTAGAATAATACATTTTTCAGTTGTGTAGTTCTTATTCAATGAATGAGTATAGTAAAGAATAGAACACATTTAAAGTCAATATAATGAAAGATAAGGTTTATTCTTAAGCATGTCACAGAACCCTAAAGAAACCCTATAGACAGGCCTCTGAAAATGCTGTTTTAATTTTTATTTTGATGAAATCTTTAAGATCTCTTTAAATGTCATCCTATGAAACAAAACTAGTTCCCATTTGCATATACCCGAAAACCCTTTTTCCTAAAAACTGACTTTGACATGTTTGGTACATGTTTTTATTCTGTTGCTCCTTCTCTGAAAATCGATCCAAGTCAGGGCGAAAACCCTGGAGAAATCCCTAGTTCAGAGTTACAGCTGGCCACGGAGCTGTGCACACACAAACGCACAGAGGAACAGATAATGCCACCATAGATCGGGCAGCGACAAAGATATCCCGCATGCACGTAGATACGAGACATACGTACACATAATTCCGAGCAGCTAAACTATTCAACTTCGAACCGAATCTGATTTCTGAAACTGATTGTGTGTATGCGTTGCCTTGGTTCTTGTTGTTGTTTCTGTGGTGTTCGGGGACGTCAGTTAAACGAAAGCCGACAAGAAGGTAAGCCCACGAGGAATCCTCCGCCAGCCACACTATAAATGCACTGAGAAAAAAAGGCCGGATATAGCAGCTTAATATTCAAATTATTGAAAGATGGAATACTCTACGTTTTCACCTTGTTCTGATTGAACCTTACAAACTTAATTTTTCATTTAAGAATTAGATCACAAGAACGATTTTACTTGACTTTCTTCAAAATACTTTAAAACAGTCCCTTATTTTTATTAGTTCTTAACAACTAATTCCGTTTCGCTGATCTTGAATAGAACATTTTTTCTCTGTACCCCAATGGTGTATGCCCCACACTCTCCTGCCACACACTTCAAGCCGCTCGCTTGGTCGTCGGCTTAAATTGGTTTTTATTGTTGTTGCACATGATGTCCATTGTTGGTGGTGTTGGCCCTCGTAGCTTCGTTTTGACCATATTTCTTGTCCGTGGTCCGCTTGCTGCTGTTGTTGTTGTTTTTGTTGTTGTTGCCGTTTTACCTTTCTTTGAAGTCGCATTTAATTCTTTGAGTTTCTTATTCTGTTCATTTTTTTCGTTTATTTCTCTGTTTTTTCCTGCCAGACCTTTGAGGAGCGAAGACGACGACGTTGGGTTGTCTGGTCGAGGTGTGAAGAAAAGAATTTTTCTGTGCAATAATCTTGATGCCTTTTTAAGATTTGTAGCTGCCGTGGAGCTTTGCTCCTCTCCATTTCTGGGGATTGGGGAGCCGCGTGGAGAAGGAGCTGCATACGTTATTCTGCCTGAGTTCGTCTTCACTGGGTCTCTTATTTTCGCTGTGCTCTCCCCGCGCGATTCGTTTCAGTTGAAAAATGGTTTGGGTTTAAGGAAATTTACGCCATAAAATGCTGAAATAATTGGATACACTCGCAGCCCCGGCATCTCCGATCTCGCTCCACACTTCGAGTGCATTTCAAATTGCTAATGATGAGGAGCTGGCCGGTGTAGCCGTACGGCTCTATAGCTGTATAGCTTCCTCCAGCGACTCCATCATGGCGAGATGCTTTCGTGAGACAAGCGACATGCCATGGTCAAGTCTCTCCTTTCGGTTTGGTTTGGTTTGGCCTGGCTCGCCATCTGCGGCAATTGCGATTCCCCAGGGCCAGGCCAACACCAACCCATCCAAACCCATGGCCCTCATAAGCCAACCCAAGAACCCCATCCATCCGAGCCAGCGGAGCATTAAATGCATTTATTTATGAGACCACCTGATATAATCTACGGCTGAAATTGCAGCTCATATGCATATGATGCGGAGGTGATACTGAATTTAGCTAGAATTCACACCTTGCTCTTGCTCCAGGGGTTCCTTTAATACATTATGCCCAGGTACAGATTCTAAGCTCCAGAACCATTTTACCTCTTAAAACTTCTTTCTTGTTATAAGATTGAAGAAGCACAACGAGCTCATAAAAACGGCCAAGTTTATTACCTGGTAATAAGATATTCATTACATCTTTGTGACCAACAATTCCATGCCAGGTTTTGTTGAGCACAAGGAATAATTTTCTAGAAATATTGCCCTTGAAAGTGGTCGTCAAAAGCTCAGTAAAGTAATTCCAACTTTTATTAAAGTACTATTACTTTTGAATGACAAAACTTGTTATAGTGTGCATACTTCTAAAATTAAATCCAGGTTTCGTCCAGGATGAAACCCCTAAAGCTCTCAATTTTAATGTGCAACATGCAAAGTAGGTTGAACGAATCTTAACAACCATTAGCGCAGAAACGAGAAGAAACGCCTTATGACCGAATAATCTCGATATTTCCTGCCTCTTTCGAGGTTCAATAGAACCTAAATCCGGCTAGATGGGGAATCCCCTCCTCCCGACTCACTTATCGGGCCAAGTTAAATCTGGCAAATACAAATTGCATCAACGCCTAGTGTCCGACGGGGCTTTTGTGTGCCCAATCCCAATCGCGGCCCCATCCCGATTTCAGACGGCCCTTGTAACAGAAAGACCAGTCAGATGCAACAACACGAACTAGTTGCACTAATCATAAAATCCCCCATCAATGCTGAAATGTATAAATGCAAAAATGGAAACGGCACGAACAACCAGCTGAGGAGCTCACGAATGTGGGCACAGAAACAGAACCTCATAACTAAATTGCATTAAGTGTAATTATAACTAATTAGAAAACGGGAAAGGCAGAATCTAAAAAAAATGGCAACAATTCAATAGCAGCCAACTGGGCGAGGAATAACTGGCACAGCGCAAAAACAATAATGTGGAATGGAAAAACATTTTTTAGAAATAGCTGCTGGAAAGTTATTTAGAACCAGTGGAAATGATTACAAAGCTCCGATTAATACTAGCGAAAAATCTAACACACAAATACGAATGGATTAAAATTGCAGTTGACTCAGCATGGGAAAAGATTGTGGATAAAAAATAAAAACAGCAACTTGGGGGATATCCGCAAGATACTGGTGTTAGTTAAATCACTGGATACTAGTGGGTGAAATTTTTATTACTTGAAGGGCAAGGCTTTATGACTAATACAAGCAGAAATAATATAAAATAAATTCATTTATAGACATGCCCAATTCTAAAGCGGAAATTAAAAAGTCTAACGAGATTTAAATACATATAAGCTTGAATGTTTATGACTGTAAAGTAGACAAATAGCACATTGTTTTCTGAACCGATTCATGATGGATTTCTCCGTGATTTTCATTCTTCAAATTGATTGATGGAACTTAGCTCTCCGTCTCCCATCTTAAATTGTCCGAGTTCTTTTGTTGCGATCTCCGTGGCTTTGTAGGCGCGTGTGCTGCCTTGCCAGCAATTTACCATTTACCTCCAACTCAAATCTACGCCACAAATCTGAATGTGAGATACCACAGATTAGCATTCAAGGGGCGGCGGGGCAGGAGAACTGGAGGCACAATGAACTCAAAAGCGAGGGCTTCGGGGGAGCCAGCGAGATAAATCATTTAATATAGCGCGCCATTTATCATCTAACGTGGCCGGGCTGTATATCATTCATCTTTTGCATAGACCCCGCTGGGTGCCTCAGGAGTTCAGAATAGAAACAGATATACAGTCGAAATTTTGTAACTTCAATTTCCTATTCTTTTGAACCTATTTCTGGAAACTTAAGGGAGAACCTCCCGTTTCGTACAAAATGAACAGTAGAGGTACTCTCGAAAGTATTTGCATGTTTTTATTAACAAAATATTATTTTAAGATTTATATAAAAAGCGACAACAATCTCTAGGAAATATAAATGCTATTGTACCGTAAATTTTTTGGCTCACAAACTAAAGTGGAAGTTGAGGATAGGGAAATTCCACTGTATGTATCCAAAAAGAACCCACGTACAAAAAGTAACAGGCGAACAAGAGAAGTGACCGGGACAACAATTTGGCAAAAGTCAATTTGTAACTTAATTAGGCGGCGGAATGCGGCATTTACTCACCTATTCAAAGTGCTGGCAATCGGCGAACGGTGGGCGGGGGGCGGTGGACCTGGGTGGTGGGCGTTCGTGTAAACAAGCAGGCAAGAGCGGGACAGAGACAGCGAAAGAAACAGAGACAGAACAGAGCCTTAATGTCTGCGGCGGCAAACTATTACGTACGTCGAATTGTATACTTATGCATATATGTGCGAAGGAAATGTACAAATGTTTGGCTGTCTGTTGTTGGGTTCTGTTTGTCTATCTGTTGCGATGATGATGATTTCGGATTCCCGATTCCCGCTTGTTTATTCGTCACTTTAACACGTTCGATTCTATTCGATGCTGCCGACGTCGACGTCACTGCTCTCTCACCGACACGCGCACGCACACACGCTTAGCTTATTTTTATTTGCCGCACTGGTGTTGGTGTATTTTTCCTCAATTGCGGTGGCGGCAAGCTCACACACACACGGTCTCACCCACACAACCGTGGGCTCATTGACAACAACAGTGGAGTGCACGTAATGCGTGATTTTTGACGGGGGGCGGGGGTATTTGTTGCTATTTTGTTTGCTGCCGCTCAATTTTGTTCTAAAACCGCGATTTGTTCACTTATCAGGCGCATTAAACAAAGGCTCGCTGGCGTTTTAATCGTAGCCACAAGCATATGTATGTTTTTTGTTATTGCCGAGATTTTATGCTCACACACGCTATCTCCCTCACTCACACGCCGTTAGAACTGTTGCAGGTATTCCACTTGCAGATTCAACTGCCACACCGAAACCGATTTGAATTGGCTGTACGGCGGTTCACGCTTTGATCATTTACAAAAAGTTATTTACCCGTTCTCGCTTTCAATTAATTATTTCCAGCAACAACGCGCGCGGTCGACCTGCGATGGTCCAATTTTTTTTTTCGACTAGCGACTGACTCTTGGTGACTGACTCTTGACGGAACCGGAACCGGTTCTTTTTAAAGAACTGGTTTTTGTTCGCTCTTACTTTAACAGATATGCGTAACCTATCGAATGCACCTTCTTACCTAGCGAGGACACCCTCCTTAACTAGCTTCGAAATGCTTAACATAAATTAACGGCGTTTGATTTATTTTCTTAATTTTATTATTGTTAACTATTTGTAATGCGATTATTGTCAAAAAATATTTATCATAAAAATGTATAACATAATAAAGTTTGAATTCAAAACCGGGTTAAAAATTTCCGATTATCCCCCAAATCAGTGCTGTACAGCGAAGAACAGCGACAGCTGTTCTGTTAGTCATCAATATGTTGTTGTTGAATAAGCTTCCTAGGATAACGCAACTGCTGACAAAGGACCCATTTGATCAACGGAATATATGGGGTTATGTGGCCATCGCCTTCAACCAAGTGGATGCGGATCGGCTGGCGAAAGTGGGCGCAAACCGCCTGTGCGCAGAGTGGATCGTAAAAAACGGAGGCGGAGTGCGCCTAGTGGATAATCCTTCAAGGCTTTGGAAGGATTACAATTCTCTGCCGGGGGAAAATACTGAGTTTTGCATAAAGGTAGTGGACGCCTCGAACTCCTCGATCATGAAGATAGGACTGGAACATTTGAAGGGTTGCAGGAGCATTGACACGGTCATCTTTCATAACTGCAAGCACTTGGAAAACGACGGCTTGGAAGGACTGCACCACATCAACGGCACACTGGAGCGATTGCAGGTTTCCGGCTGCTACAACATCACCGATTCCGGTCTCGAGGTCATTGGGGACCTGAAGAACTTGCGACAACTTCTCATCTTTGACATGATATTCGTGAAGAACATGGAAGCAGTGGCCGCTAATTTGAAGAAACAGCTTCCAAGCTGCGATATCAAGGCCACCAAACTCGGCGTTACGTTGAAGCCCAAAAAGTGATACATACAGCTGATGATTTGTTGTTTAGGTCCGGCTTGTAAATAAAAATAAAAAGTGTTGGAAAAGGCAACGAGTTGTCAATTTTCTGCACAGTGAATTAAATCTCGCTTTTCATATTCGTTTTCAGGTTTGTGTTTTCAAGTTTAATACTCCTAAAAAAGTAATGAAATCCTGTAATATTTATTTAATTTGTTATAACAGATAAGTGAAATAAAGCTTATTTTAAATGCAAACTCTGACAAAGTATCAATCGGGATTTTCGCTCACTTACACAGTGGTCATACTATTTTAGGAAGTCAGGACAAAATGTGAATAAATGTTAGAAAATGACTAAGTTAAAGAATCTGCTGAGTTTTGCGACCCAGTCCCGAGTCATATCACACTCTAATCCCAGGGAGCAGATCCTCAACTGCCTGACCTATGGCCTCTTGATTATTGTGGCCCTCTGCGCGGGCGTTCTGTTGTGGGATCTCTCAAACAGTCCCCGAGATGGATTTTTTCACGGAAAAAGGGACTCGCACACTCTGATATTGGACTTAGAGCACATCCAAGAGATTGCTGTAAATCCAGAGGCTGAGCAGCGTGCCCGAAATATCAACTGCACCTTCTGGGACTGCCTTAACATTTATAAATGCGAGCATGACCGCTTAAAGGTCTACATTTATCCGCTGCAGGAGTTTGTGGACGAGCGAAGCGACAAGTTAGCCACCACATTGTCCAGCGAGTACTTTCAAATCCTGGAAGCGGTGTTGAAGAGCCGCTATTACACTTCGAATCCGAACGAGGCGTGCCTCTTCCTACCCAGCTTAGATCTTCTAAACCAGAATGTCTTTGACAAACACTTGGCTGGCGCTGCTCTGGCTTCCCTGGATTTCTGGGATCGCGGCGCCAACCACATCATCGTCAATATGCTGCCTGGAGGAGCTCCTTCATACAACACCGTGCTGGATGTGAATACGGACAATGCCATTATCTTTGGTGGTGGTTTCGATTCTTGGTCGTATCGGCAAGGCTTTGATGTATCCATTCCTGTCTGGAGTCCACGATTGGTGTCGCAACATGCCCATGCCACGGCCCAAAGGAAATTCCTTTTGGTCGCTGCCCAACTTAATTTACTTCCTCGCTCTGTGAGAACTCTGCGAGAATTGTCCTCATCGCACAGCGAGCAACTCCTTCTCGTGGGAGCCTGCGAGAATTTGGATCTCAACATACGTTGTCCTCTGTCGCAGCGCCATAAATCCCTGGAGTATCCGCGCATGCTGTCGCGCGGAAAGTTCTGCCTCCTTGGCCGCAGCTTGCGCATGGGTCAGCCCGATCTGCTGGAGATTATGTCGCAGCACTGCATTCCTGTGATTGCCGTGGACAACTATGTACTACCCTTCGAAGATGTGATCGATTGGTCGCTGGCCTCCGTTCGAGTACGCGAAAGCGAACTGCATTCCGTGATGCAAAAGCTAAAAGCTATATCAAGTGTTAAAATAGTTGAGATGCAGAAGCAAGTGCAGTGGTTGTATTCCAAGTACTTTAAGGACTTGAAAACTGTAACTCTGACGGCTCTGGAAGTGCTGGAAAGTCGCATCTTTCCGCTAAGGGCCCGCAGCAGTCGTCAGTGGAATGCCATCGACACCAACGCTCGCTCCACCTTTAACCCTCTTTTCCTGCCCTCGCTGGCGCCAAAGTCTCAAGGATTCACTGCCGTAATACTCACCTATGATCGGGTAGAAAGTCTCTTTCTGCTGATTCAGAAGTTGGCGGTGGTGCCCTCATTACAAAGCATTTTGGTCATTTGGAACAACCAGAAGAAGTCTCCGCCGCACTGTAAGTTCTTTAATATCATTTCCTAACTACAAATTAATGAACGCTCTCTTAAATAGTGTCCACCTTTCCATCTATATCGAAGCCTCTGAAGATTCGGCAAACCAAGGAGAACAAGCTATCGAACCGTTTCTATCCATATCCGGAAATCGAAACTGAAGCGATTTTAACTATAGACGATGACATTATTATGCTGACAACAGACGAATTGGACTTTGGGTAAATTAAACTAGTATTGACTTCAGCTTCCTTACTTATTATTTTTATCCAAAAGCTACGAAGTTTGGCGAGAGTTTCCGGATCACATTGTGGGCTTTCCCAGTCGTATTCATGTTTGGGATAATGTCACTATGCGCTGGCACTACGAATCGGAGTGGACGAACCAGATATCCATGGTGCTCACAGGAGCCGCCTTCCATCACAAGTACTGGAGCCACATGTACACACATGCAATGCCGGGGGATATTAAGGATTGGGTGGACGAGCACATGAATTGCGAGGATATTGCTATGAATTTCCTGGTGGCCAATATAACCAACAACCCACCTATTAAGGTCACTCCTCGCAAGAAGTTCAAGTGTCCAGAGTGCACCAATACGGAGATGCTTTCCGCCGATCTGAATCATATGCGCGAGCGGTCGGCCTGCATCGATCGCTTCTCTAAGATCTACGGCCGAATGCCACTGCGCACTGTGGAGTTCAGAGCGGACCCCGTGCTGTTCCGCGACAATTTCCCGGACAAGTTGAAACGCTACAACGATATCGGTAGCTTGTAAGAGTTATCAACTCTAAAATGAACATTCCAGTGGAATTTATGGAGGTATACCAAAGACTTGAAGGAATGGCGCTCAACTTCCGCAATGAGGATCTAGCTGGCAGTCGACTATATTATATGTCCATCTTGTCGGTGAATGGATAAAAGCCATCATCATATGTGGATATAAAAAAACGATACTAGGGGCTGTTCCGGTTTAAATTTTGAAGCAATATGTTTTACTTCTAATTGGAATTCGAGTGTTTAATTGTTACGCGAATAGTTAGAAAATAATTTAGTGAAATTAACAACTGGACTAATGGATTTTTTATGTAGAAAATTATTTATTAACAAAAATACTTTTAATTTTAAGTTGTAACGTCGGCAGCAACGAGTAGACTTAATTTTCATTTAAAATAGAACATACTTTATCCAAACTGGAACTGGCCTGTAAATACATATTAGAAAATGATCTTATCGTAGAAAAAAGTTTTTTTTATTTGGACTGTTTTAAGCTGTAAACTGAAATCTCTTGCTATAGTTTAGTTGTAAATTTTAAGGTTCGCGGTAAGGTATCCGGTTGGTTAAATGCTATGCTAATATCATAAACATGGTGGCTCTGATCTCAGGTGTTAGGCTTTTTCGATGGATGCCAAATACTCTTTGTAACGTTGCTCCTGCTGCTGCTGAAGTTTTTGCAGCTTCTTGATCTGTCCCTTGCTGACCTCTTTGCCCTCTTTATCAAGAGTGGGCAGGCCCTGGAAATGAAATTTAAATATTTTAAACTATGATTACGTATTCTATATCGCTGTTCTTACATTTTCGTCGAATGCAGAGTACTTTTCCGTTTCGCCGAGGAACATTTCCTTGGGATTTACGCGGCGCTGGGCTTCTTTAGCTGCCGCAGCCTCCGCAGCAGCTTGCTTCTTTCGCTCCTTTTCAGCGGCCTTCTCCGCCTCGGCGGCCAGCTTTGCCTCCCGCTCTCGTAATAGCGAGTCTCGATCAACTAGCTTTACAGCATACTTTCCACCATCTTTGTCCTCCAGTCGAACACCCAAGTTGGGCAGCACGTTGTCGCGCAGATCGTCGCAGAGTTTCAAGATGTCAAAAGCCTTCAGGGTTTTCGCTTGCTCGCGTACCAAATTTCGGAATTCAGCCAGGGACTGAACATAGGGCAGCACTGTTGTTTCCAAATCAGCGCCAGCTGCTAGAGCACCTGAACCGCCACTGACGGGAAAGCCAATGCCACCGCGTGGTCCTGAGATCGCGCCAAATACATGAAGCAGATCCGTGATGTAGTTGGCCACGTTGCGCAGCAGCAGACTGTTAAGCCTAGTCTTATTGTCCCGAATGTAGACGTTGGAGGCGGAGACCAGCTCCCGAATGGCGTCCAGGGCACTTCGGGTGTCGATGTTGTCTGTGGAACAGATAATATTAGATATGATCGATCATGTTTACAGATATTTATAATACATACCACAGAGAGCTGCATGAACCTGCACTTGGGAGCTGGCGAACTTATTTTGCAGAGCTGCCTCAACTTCAGTCCAGGCATCAAACTGCCGTCTTGGTTCTTCGGAGAGCACATGTCGTGTCAGATCCTTGACGTTTAAGAAGAACTCCTGCAAAACCAAAAATGTTATAAAACCTTTAATGAACTTAATTGAATCCTCTTACATTAAGGAACTTCTCGTACTGCGTGGCCATTTCCATGGTGTTTTCCGAGTAGTCTAGCGTGTCCTTCCAAGAGTGCAAAAGGAAAGCCAATCGCAGCTGAGTGGCGGAATGCTTCTTGAGGGCTTCCTGGATCGTCACAAAGTTCTTCAGCGACTTGGACATCTTGCAGCCGGCAATGGTGAGATGACCTGTGTGCAGGAAGTACTTCACCCACTCGGCCTCATCAAAAGCCGCCTCTGATTGGGCAAGCTCGTTGTCGTGGTGGGGAAACTTCAGGTCCACGCCGCCAGTATGGATATCAAAGGTAGGGCCAAAGATATCCGAGGCCATGGCTGAGCATTCAATGTGCCAGCCAGGACGACCCTTGCCCCAAGGACTGTCCCACCAGGGTTCGCCGGCCTTACTTGCTTTCCACAAGGCAAAGTCGTTGGCTGAGCGTTTCTCGGACAGCCGGTCCTCGGCCACGGATAAATCTCCCTCGCCTTCCTGCAGTGATTTAGTGTCGCCATACGCTTCAGGAACCAACTTTGCGTAGTGGTGCTTCTCCCTCCTGTCAAAGCCATTTACATCGAAGTAAACGGAGTTGTTGGCTGCATAAGCCAAGCCATTGTCGATGATCTTCTGGATAAAGGTGACGATCTGGGGTACATACTCCGAAACCCTTGTTAAAACATCTGGAGGTAAAATCTGTTGTGCATGAAATTAACAAATGAATCATTTAAAGTTAATTGGTTTTTCGATGACTCACATTCAGCGATTTCATGTCGTTGTGGAACTGGTCTTCCCAGTAGCGTGGAAGAGCCTCGAACACTGCGTTGTCGTTGATTTGGGCCCCCTTTTGGGAGTCCAACCAATCGGAGATGGGGTCCTTGGCTTCATTTAGGTAGTGCTGCCGCTTCTCTGAGATCTCCTGTTCGACGCCTTTGCTAACTGCTTTGGTCAATGCATCCACGGCGTCGTTCATGCGTTGCAGGGTCTTGTCCAGCATCACCTTCTTGTCGGGATCGGTGTTTTTGGCACAGGTGTCCTGAAACCGGAGGAGAACCTGCTTTTGCTGGCTCAGGAGCTGATCCAGGGGCAGTTTGGATGCCTCTTTGGCATATTCTTCAAAGAGATGGTTCTGCCTTGCACGCCGAATGATCTTGTCGTCAATGTCCGTTATGTTCATCACATAATGTATGTTGTAGCCAAAGTAATTGGCCAGAATGCGACGCAGAATGTCAAAGGAAATGTAAGACCTGTGGAGCGAAAAGCAAGCGACATGAGATAAGGAAATCGTTAAATGATGTGGCACTCCAACCTGGCATGCCCCATGTGCGATGCATCGTAGACAGTAGGTCCGCAGCTGTACCACGTTACATTGTTTCCGTCTAGCGGCACAAACTCCTCCTTTTGGCGGGTGAGGCTGTTGAACAGCTTTAGCTTTGGCCGATCCGCCGCTTTAGGAGCTTGCCACGCCGGTTGCCCACGTTTCGACATTATCTCTTCGCTGTGTTGGTGCGTACGTCTAAACAGAACAGTCAATCTCCTCTGCACTTGCAATGCGGCAAATTTTCATCAGCCCGGAGCATGAGCAACAGCTGACTGCCGACACGTGGCAACGTCTTTCTGAGTTGCCAGATCGGCTTGGTATCAAACAGCTTTTTAACGGTCGTATGGAGTTTTCTTTATTTTCAAAACTAGAAAACCTTTAAACTTTGTTATTAAAGTTTAACAAAATGTCGATGTTCCTAGTTGGTATGTTGCAGAAAAGTTACCCGAGCCTAACCTCTCAGAGATTTTAGGTATTCGATTATAAAGTGCCAAGCCTCTAAATGCCTGTGTTCGAGTCTTTACATGGCTTATTTATTTGAGCATTTTTAACGTTCAAGGTTATAACTTAAATAAAGTTAAAAAATAAGCTACTAAGCTGATTTGATCATAACTGTTCACGCAATCGTGGATTTTTGAAGATTTTGTAACTAAAGCATTCTTTAATCTTATCATTAATTTTTCTATTTTCCCTTCTTTTTTTGCCTCCCCCACTGTTGGCTTTCTGAGTGCGACCCAACTGCATATCTTTCAGCTTGGCATCTAGACGTTTCTTGGCATTTTTGACATCCTCCTCCTGGCGTACGGTCTTTGCTGGTTTGGGATGCAGGAACTTCTTCCGCTCATCCCTTTTGATTTCTTCCCCACATCCGTGAACCTCTGGCAGTCCATGCTTGAAGCAGAATCTCTTTTTACAATGCTGGCAGTCCTGGCCCATTAGGCTCGTTTTAGTCTTGCAGCGGGGATAATCACACAGGTTATCCACCTCCTTGACGGCGGTAAGGACATCGTCCAGCTTGAGATCTACCACCTGGCTGGGAATCCGCTCCAGCAGCTCCAGAGTGTTATTTGTGCCATAGTCCACTCGTTTTCCAGGTTTCGCGGGTGGAAAGAGCGGAGCTTCGTCAACTTTCTTTGAGGTGGAGGGTTTATCTGCATCGTCTAAATTAAATCACGACTTATGATTTGAAAAACAATAATTTATTATGTTTTTACGCACCTGCCATTGAAAAATATGTTTTTAAAGTTTCTGTGTTTATCAAAATTACCAAAAAGTTTGTGTTTCTCTCTTAGAGATGAATGATTAGTAAAGTCAACAGCTGACTAGTAGTCGATACATCGATAGACGTCAAGAAAAAATTGCGGTGAATTTTAAATATAATTAGAGTCTTAACCCATGCGATTTAAAAATTAAATTAAATTTACCTATCAATAAAATAATTGCTTCACCCAACAAGAAAAGATTAAAAAACAACGGTACATTTAAATACTTTAGTAATGTTATTGTCGTTGTAACTAAGTACTACACACAAGTCAATAAAAATTTGGATATCAAGCTAAACATTATTTAACCAATCTCTGACGGCCTTCGTGCACAATTTGTGTAAACTATCCATTCCAAAGCGGTAAACAATATCCATACTGTTTTAACCATTTCAAGTGTATAATATATATATATCCATGTAAAAGCCGTATATAAACTTTTAGTATGTAATTGCAATTGCTGTAGGTTTGATTTAAATGCTAATGGTGCAGACAACTGTGATCTGACGTAGAGCTGGGTAGCTTTCTGGCCCACTCGTAATTTAGCTAGTCGCCACAAACTCCATTGTTTTAATATTTGGGCGTTTACAATTTGTTGTCGCAAGGGCACGCGCCAGTGGCGCCAGTTACTGCAGCATGAATGGCTTTAGCCACGTAATCGATGTTGCCTGTGTTCAGGCCACACATGTTGATGCGGCCCGTCTTCAGCAGGTAAATGTGGTATTCATTGATTAGGACGCGCACCTGGCTCTCATTCAGGCCAGTATAAGAGAACATGCCGATTTGGTTGACGATGTGGTCCCAGTTGCCGGGCGTTCCCAATGCTACCAGCTTTTCCCTTAGCGCACTGCGCATTTCGCGAATGCGACTCGACATGGTCTTAATAGACTCCATCCACTCCTTTCGAAGTTCCGGCGTATTCAGGACCTTTGAAACGATGCGGGCACCGTAGGCGGGAGGATTTGAGTACTGACCACGAATGAGCAGCGTCAGCTGGGAGTGAACCGCCGCCTTGGTGGCTCCATGCTGCTGCACCACCGTCAGATTTCCGGCACGCTCGCAGTACAGGCCAAAGTTCTTGGCAAACGACTGGCAGGTGAAGAGCTCAAAGCCACGCTGCACAAAGTAACGCACAGCCCAGGCATCCTTATCCGGATCACCGCTGGCAAAGCCCTGGTAAGCAGAGTCGAACAGCGGGAAGAGCTTCTTCTTCTCCAGCAAGTCGGCCAGCTCCTTCCACTGCTCTTGCGTTGGATCAATGCCGGTGGGGTTGTGGGCACAGGCGTGCAGAATGATAACAGCGCCAGGTGGAGCTTCGTTCAGATCAGCCACCATGTTCTTGAAGTCCAGCTGCCGCTTGTTTTGGTCCCAGTAGCGGTAGGACTTCAGGGTCTTGAAACCTACATCGGAGAAGATTTTGTGGTGGTTCTCCCATGTGGGATTCGAATAGTACACCACGTCGCGATTCAGTTGTGAGTGCAGAAAGTCGGCGGCAATGCGCAGGGCACCAGTGCCCGAAATGGTCTGAACTCCAAAGGCCTAAAAAAAGATGGCACAATAAACTTGGGAAATGCTTCATGTATCGGGGTTTATCTTACGCGATTCTCCTTAATGGCAGGGGAATCAGCACCCAGCACCAATTCCGTGGCCGCACTCGTGAACGTATCTAGACCTGAAAATAACAGTAAATATGGGATTTATTAATGAACAATTTTTTTTTATTAAAAAATAGGTTTACTCACCAGTAACTGGCAAATACTCGTGGTTTACAGACTCATCGCTGGCAATAGAGATTTCAGTTTTGCGCACCACAGGCAAAACCCACGGAACTCCAGCATTTGTCCTGTAAGCTGTAAATAAACCAAATATTAAATCATATTACTAACAATTTTTTTAAAGAATTTGTTTCCGTCCAAAAATAAAAATTAACTAATAAACTAGTTTGTTAGAGGATTAAAATACAAACTCATTGAGCTATACTACTTTAGAATCAGAGGTAAATTAAAATCATTATGGCTTTAGAAGTGCTGGTTTTTGACACTTTTCTGCAAACCCATTTTTTGTGGAAATTTGGAAAGGGGTTGCATCATAAAAAATTGAATGCATACCAATTGTTCAAAGGTGCTAGGGAATACGTCGTTTAAAGTGCTAAAATCCGAACAATATTTAAGTCTTATCTTAGTAGAGTTAACAAGCCTAATCAATCCGTAGTGCTGTACGGAATCTGATAGCGTGGCATTGTTCCTAGGCCAATTTATTTATTTATTATTGCGAGCACTGGCAACGGGTTATTTGAAACCAATTGAATGAATTGGTCCGACAAATATTTATACTCTTGCAGCATTGTAAAAAAAGCGAAAACATGAGGAGCAATGCCTATAAAAGAACCATAACGTCTGGTATAATACAATTGAAATGCCAATGAACTCAGTGTTAGGAGAGAAAAACGGTTAAGTCAATTTGATAGCATTGTTTTAGCCTGAGTTAGACTCAATTCAGTTTAAAGAAAACCAGTTTTCTTTCTATAATATTTAATGAATGTATATTTTGCGTATTGTAAGCTCCTAAAAAGTTACAAAGTTATCTGAATGAAGTTATGATTTGAGAATCCAATTTGACTCCAATACAAATAATCAAATTAGCATAACACGACTTTTTTGAACATAGGTTAATGACTTGTTGCTTTCTGCTAGCAAAACAAAAATAAAATAATCAACAAGTTCGCTGGTGGGAATTGTTATTTAAATTATGCAATAACATCCATAAATATAGAAAAGGTGAAATGGCGACCGTCCAAATCAGCAACATTGCTCTTGGACGACCAACCGGCAACATTGTTTTTCTGGTGACTTTAGATTGCGTTCTGGATGTTGGTCGTACCTGCCAAGAGTCTTACCCACAAGAGGCTTATCTTCTACCGCACACAAGGCAAACACATAATACTGAGTTAGCTGACGTCAAAAATAATTTAGATGAAGAAAGCCGCAAGAGAAATGCTCTATTGAGAATTGAGCAAGAATATGTGTGTTTATACTAAATTGAAAATGAAATTTTTGAGAAAAATAAACGGCAAAAGTTTGCTATCAATTTTTAGATATTTTTAGTGAACAAATTATCTGAAGTAAATATTTAATTAATATCAGCAAAGATAAGGTTCGACAAACCTGCGCAACGATATTATTTAACGGAATTCTGTAACGGTTCAAAGAAATATAGAGTAACGAATTTGATTTTGATTTTCCATAGAAGGAAAATTAATATGTACATACATACATATGGTATGAACTTTTTAATTCGAACGCAAAAAGTCATATACATATGCACAAAGATCTCCACAAAAAGGAACGGAAAAGCCTAAACAATTCATATTTCACTTTGACTCTCAAATGACCTCCAGCAGAGTGGGCTGATGGGTGGCAGCCGGAAACGGGCGTTCCGGGAGGCAAAGGAGGCGAACTGCAAGGGCAAACTAACTAGCAAATGATAGCAAATTGTGCCGCATACAAATGCAACTTCGTAGTAACGCAAACACACACGAACATGCGTATTTATGCCGGGGAAATTCAATCACTTACCGCCCACCGACAAATTGACCTTGTTGGGATTGCTGTCGTCCTTGAAAGCCTGTGTCAAGGCAAAAACCTCGATGGCGGGTCCTTTTTGAACGTCGGCGTAAATAGACATCACGGCTAACTTGACAAAACAAGTCCAAACGAAGCGACAATAACAAATAAATTAATTTGGAATAGTGTCGGCACCAAAAAAGCCAAAAATAGTGTGGCTGCAATTGGCTTAGGCCATTAAGCCCACTAAAAGCTCTTTCGATTTATTTCATCTAAACTATCGATATTTTTATCCGAAAAGTATGTCATTAGTTTTAAAAAGATTTTTTAATAAAAGTAACTGAGTATAAAATCTAAAAGGTTAACAATTTTCAGCAACGGACGTTTAATTTGTCAAATAACGTTTCCGAAGTGATCATCTCCCAAAATTAGTAAACTTCTTTTAATCTTTTGGAAGTGTATATTTATTGCCCCGAAAATCCTTAAATGCTAAACGTCGTTAAATAGTTTGGTTTAATTTAAAGCCAAATATCAATCTACAAATTTTTGATTGTTTGCAGTCTTTTTGTCGCTGAGTATGCGATCCGATTAGGCTATCATTCGAATAGGGTTTAACAAAAACAAAAAACACGAGGATTGATTAATGCCATTTTGGTTTAAAATAATATTCAGTAATTTATGAGGGTGCACACGTTTCTTCCAATTCGTTACTCAATTAACTAAGGCTATGATTAAAATTATGTTCAGAGTAAACCTAGGACGTTATGATTAAATTGGTTAAATAAACTATTCACTTATACAATGGCCCGTTGCTTATCTATGTATATTTACATTTGATGCATAAAATACGAACATTTATATAAATATCCAAACTGCCGGCATTTCGCATTCGATGCCTGAGACACAGTATATACAATATATACGATCTGAGGAAGCACTCGTTCGAAAGCGAAACTGCTCGAAGCTCTGTCTAATTTTGAGTTAGCCTAAAATACCAGAGCTAGACCTATCTACGACTACGTTTACAAGTAAAATGATCTGTACAACGTTATGACTTGGTGAGTGCCTGTGTGTTGAGTGAGTGTTTGTATAAATATACACAAATTAGTGGTGTAGTGAGCTTGAACGTTGGTGTGGTGGTCCATCCATCCTTCCTTGCGATCCTTTCTAATAGGAACTTAAACACGGGTCCCCGTAAGCTTACAGTTCGATACGATGCGGGATGTGCGTGGTGCGAGTGAGCATAAATTAAATTAAAGATGGTTTTCAGTCAGTATCAGTTCACCCGGCATGCCATCGGAGCTCTGAGTGCGCAGCAAAACCTCCATGATCGGTTGGTATTAGGCGCGTTGATCCCGCTGCTGTTCTTGAGCCGAGGAATCTTAAACATTTAGAAAGAAATAAATCCGTCTATTAGAAACGCATTACAGTGGTCAAATCACACGGAAAGCAATGAAGAACAGGGCATGAATAGGGTCAAGTAACTGAGATTAGTAGAACGCAACGATGGAACGCACGCAGAACAGAACGAGCAAAAACAATTTCGAGCATTCCACCTACCGGGAACTGGTGCCAAAATAAATAATCATTCGGTGCTGGGCACCCGTTCAGATTTGATATTCGTGTTATCACGTGCGTTCGCGCAGGGCGATGTCAGTGCACAGGACCAAACAGTCTGAATTAAAGGACTCAACGTCCTTTGGCCTGCTGACCGCGGCAGCTGACAATCGCACCGCTCGCGCTCCCTGGTCGCCTGTCAATGTCAAAGGGAAATCATTTGAGCCAAAGCGTGGCAGGTAAGACATATTCTGATTAAAAAGTACCCATAGTAATGTTGGGTACTTTTCGATCACAACTTTAAGGGACAAACAATACGATATATATATATATATATATATATTGGGACTTCAAGAAGGTCTAGCCCAAGAACCGTGCTCACCTTGTCCTCGCGCGGCACTTATTTTGTCCTTGATGATGAAGAATGCGGTGAATATGAAGAAGATGCCGCCCAACACCTCCACAAAGCTAGTGGAAAAGAGGGCGTACTGCAAGCCTTCGAACAGTTCCACATCAGTGTACTAAGGGAAAAATTTACAATGAGTATATGTTGAATATCTTAACTCAGGATTCCACTTACCTTCTCGGAAATTGGACCCGATGAACGCACAGCGGCGATCGTAGTGGCGGCGATTTCTGTAACCGCCTGGGTGACATTGGAGATCTGAGTTTCCGCAATTTGGGACAGGCTCTGCATTTCGGTGGTCAGGCCGGAGTCGCCGGGGTTCTTGTGCAGGTGCTCCATAATGGCCTCTGAAATCTAAAGCACACAAAAAATTAGTTATTTTGACTTGGGAAGCATTGACGTTTTGGTAACTTACAGCTCCCACCAAATAAGGACTGCCGGCATCTCCCAACGCATGTGAAATAAGAATCTGGAAGGCCTCGGCTGTGGATCGCCTTGTGGGAATCACCACATACTATATTGAACAAATAGAAAACGCAAATTAGTATAATTTAATTTCTAGTTTTTAAGCGGAACAGCAACAACAATAAGCAAAGCAAATGAAAGCAAAAGCCACAACCAAATCTTAAGCTAAAACTATCGATTAAAAGCAATTATTGGTTCAGGTGCAGATACTTTCTTTGGAAAACCAGTTCTCAAACCCTTGTTAATCTCCTCCAGAAAGTATTCTACATAATAACCAACAATAAAATCAATCTCTAATTGATTAAATACAAACAAAAAATTGGATTAAAGCATGTGGGTGCGATTGCGTTTAAATGTGTGTGTGTGTAGGTGTGCCATCAGCAGATTCAAATTCGCCAAAAGCTCGCCAGAGATGGAGCCACTCGAGAATTTTGGGGACAAACAAAGAACGGGTCCCCGAAAGACAATAAAAACCGTCTAGCAATGCGTTCTCAGGTTGGAGTCTAATCAACAAATGGGAACAGTTGGGCGCCAGCCAGCCTGGGAACAGTGGGCCCTCCAAAAAACAGAGCCGATTTATTTAAATTACTCGAGGATTTTTCTTTAAATTGAAAGTGGCAATTTGTTGTCTACTAAACTGTTGGCCACATTAAGTTTTTACTGTTATAACTACAGGTGATTGGATGGGCGGGTTTTAGCCAAGTGTTTTGTGTGTGAGCTAAAGCGAGAAACTAAAATTACGCAAAGCATTTATGATATTACACCAGGTATATATGCATGTATGTATGTAGTTCCCTTTACTGTAGGTCATTGTGAAAAGCCAGAAACAACAAAACCAAAGACCCAGATAAAGGTTATCTCTAATCACGGTTGCTTATCGGTGGCAGCAATTAATATAGCGCCACCAAGGTGGACCGATCGTACTTTTTTTTTTACTTTTTTTTCGGGTTAGATAATCGGGTGGGTTGCTATTGCTTATTTCTGTCACGGAATCGTTTGCAATGAATAGCAAAATGGCAACAAAAAACAAAAACAACAAAGAGGAACACACGCAAATCAAGTGCGTGGTAAAAAGAGGTGACAAAAAAGCAGAGAGTACTGCAATAAAGGGGGTGTGAATCGGGGAACTATATGTATCGTACTGCCAAATTTAGAACAGGCCACCAAATATACAAAATACGTAGGTATTTCTCGAGAAAAATAAAGTCCACGGATTGGATGTGCATGTATGCTGATGCCATATCCATTATCTTCTGTTCTGGTTACGTAGTACATCAGCTGTTTGTTAAGCCTTTAAAGTCCATTCATGGGTTAACTAGCTACTATATAAAGGTTTTATCTAAGTTGTACTTCATAGTAAATAATAATAATTTTTTATCACATCGCTTGCTGCACTTCGGTGACACCTTTGCAATTAAAATGGGTCGTTTTATCAAACTGGGTTACTTAATCAGTTCAGGTTATTTAATGAAATACGCTGGTTATCGTAGCCTTTTATTTGTGGAATGACGTCAGATCAAGGGAGTTTATTATTGTATATGTATTGCATGTGAATATACTAGTCGGAATTTAATTTATGATTTGTTTATAATTAAAAAGTTTATTTCAAAATCCTAACCAAATACGATTGTCACAATTTACGACTCTCTTGACTCTTTACAGTTTTGGGCTTTAATATTCTTATCGCTGGCTTATCTCCATGAAATGGACAAACGTGACTACCTCGAGATAACCCCCGAAAATCAGTAAACGAGACGGAAGAATCCAATATAAATACGAAAATTTCGACACTTTGTCTGGTGGAATGGGCTAAAATGGAGCGTGGGTTGCTTGTGAATGCAATTTTGGGGGATTGTGGTGCTTTAATATGGTTATGAGACATCTCTCGGGGGTTGAGGGGCGAGATATTTGCACGCTGCAAGTATTTTGGGGGTTGGACACTCCCTTTTCCCCATAAAATGGAGGGTTGGAAGCTACAGTGAGAAGATGAAACTCTATGCTGATTACATTGGCAAAGGAAAAAGTAATAAGGAGGATTGGAGTTGTCTTCTCCCTGGGGGAGTAAGAATGAATTGTAAATAATAATCAAACACTTCAAGGCAGTCTAAAAACAAAGGTTTAAAGAGCTCTACTAAGCTGCTTTAAAGGTTTACGCTTACTGAACTAAAAACCGCACCCAAAAATAGTGAAACAACCACAAAATGGAGTATCAGATGACCACCACCAGTAAAAAGATGCGGGTGAAGACAACATAAATATTTGGTTAGAGGGTTCGTGAGTAGGCAAGCTGTTGGTGCAGTTGTATGTTTGTTATAACAGTAAAAAGTTAATGCTTAAACTAAGAATTTCTGTGTGTAATTACAGTTACAGTATTCAAATCAACAATACGTGAGTGCAAGATTACAAAAGCGTTACTGGGATTCAACGTGGCTCATCCCGTTTCGATTGGCTTACCAGCAGGATATCCGCAACAATTGCCCAAGTTAAATTTAAAGTTAACTGCCCGAAAAAGATGAGCGTATAGGTGCCCGGCGAATTACTGTTCACCAGGAGGCAGGCGCCCGTCAGCAGCGGGGCACTCAGGAGCAGCCCGAAGGCGCAGATCACCGGATCCGCCGACGGATACCGCTTTTTCAGGTACTGCGACATAACCGAACCCAGCGGCACGCCTATCAGGCCCGCCAACATGGTGATGACTCCGAAGTTGAACGCAACACTAGGGGCAGGTTTTGGAATTTCGAGGTACATTCGGTTAGTTTTGCCAAAAAGCTTAATAACAACCAGACTGGCACTGCAACATCATTATCCATCATAAGATCTTTGGTAAGTAATATAATGCAAAGATCCTGATGAATAATTATGTCTCTGTGTAGTCTGGTCATAAACAATTAAAAGAGCTTGGCGGTTAGGGCCAGATTTGGGGTCTTAAATAGAGCACCATTTCAACGATTGAACAGAACGGCTTTTGGCTTTTGATTTCTGCGCTTTTGCTGCTGCTGCTGCTGCTGTTTCTTGTATCTTCCAATGAGCCTTTCTTACCAGCAGGATATCAGCCACAATCGACCAGCACAGGTTTAGTGCCACCTGGGCCGCGAACACGAACAAATAGCAAAGGGTTTCGCTCGTTTGCGGCACAACCAGAGCAGCAAATACCATCGGAGCCGAGATGAAGAGTCCCACCGCACAGATGTACGGATCGCAGTTCTCATAGTGGACCCTCAATCGCTGGGCGAGCAGAGAGCCCAGGGGAACTCCGATGAGACCCGCCAGCATGGCCACCAGGCCGAACTTGTACGAGATGCTTGACGACGGAGCAGAAACCATTGTAAGGCGCGCAGCTCAATATTCGGGAATCGGGACGTGGGTCAAAGGGGAAGGGGTTCAAACCCCATTTTCACGAAGATTTAAAACCCAGTTATTATATCAACAATAAAGGTATGATATCTACATAGAGCTTACGGATCTCTCAAACAATTGAATCGGATTTAAAAATAATTATTTAAGAATTTGAATATCATTTGAAATAAAAATTATTGACTTCCTGCTAACTGTCTTGTCATATCGTGAAAATGGGGTTCTTGGTTTAGGGTCTCGGAACATCACACTTACTCGTCCTGGACGATGTTCTCGTTGCCGGGCTGCATCTTCATGCCTAGATAGATGAAGGAGGGTCCCCACCAGGCCAGAGCTCCGGCGACGAAGGCCACGCACGTGAATCCCGCTGTGGAGAGCATGAAGGAGCGGTTCTTGAGCAGGGCCTTGATATCCTGCTTATAGGTGGTGGCCTCCAGGTTGTGCGATCCCTCGCTGTGACCCCGCTCTGGGTCCCTCATGAGCATGATCAGGAGCACGGCCACAATGCCCAGAATGGGTGTAACCCTCAGAGCCCAGCGCCAGTTGTTGGCCAGGTGAGCTGTCTTGGATCCCACAATGTATCTGGAATGGAATGAAGTTGGGTCATTGACGAGATTGATCCCGAATCGAATTGACTCTTGGGCCATGTTGCATTGGTGGCCAATTAGGCGTTGCATAAATTCCAATCAACCCCCAATTGACCCAGCACTCTAATTGAATTAGAGCCGTCAATTGCGGCATTCCAAAAGTAAATCAATTTCAATTCTGGAGGCGAGTCACGTGACTCTTCTCACGCTCGGCCACCGAGAAGTGCTGATTATCATCCTCCAGCCGCAATCTTCGACCTCGCATCGCCTGTTGCCAGCGGTTGATAAGGCGAGGGACAACAAAGTCTCAGCGGCAGACTGGATGGACTGATAAGAGGCCATCCTCCCGAGTTGTTTACGGATCATTGATCTGGACATTGGCCAGGCACAATGTCGAGATGCACACACTCACCCCAGACCGGATCCCACGGGAATGGCAAAGTAGAACAGGGCCAGCATTTTGGAGCGCATGTCATGGACGAAGAGGTCCGAGATGATCGTCGGTGCAATCGTGCTGTAGGAGGCCTCTCCGATTCCCACCAGTGCCCGGAAGGTCATGAACCAGCCGAAATCCTGCATGTACGATCCCAACAGCGTGGTGGTGCTCCACAGGGCCACGCCCACCGCCATTATCCGCGGTCGGGAGTAGCGATCACCCAGATATCCGAAGATCGGTGCGCAAATCATATACGAGATAACGAATACGGTCTGCAAGAGTCCAGCACTGTCATTTCCAATATCAAAGTCCTGACGCACATCAGTTAAAACTCCTGTAAAAGGAAAGCAATAAGTGGTCAAATCCTGATTGAAATGTATATATTTATATTTGTATCACATGATTATAGAGTTTATACAAATGCACTCAGTTTAAAATTAGTATTATTTATCTAATATTTAGTCATTCAATTTAAACGACTCTTCATTTATGAACCGTTTACCATCATTTTGGTTTTAGAAACGTGATATGGCAAAATTTGCGCATGTAAAAGCTAACTGATATTATAATGTTTTCCCCCCTGTGATTATTCGTCTGAGAAATGCGCGTGATGTGTGAAATTTGTAGGTACTAAATTGTAGTTCGAACATATCAGCCCATCCCAGCAGGGGTTGCTAATTGGCCAAGTAAATAAATCGTTAATATGGGTCTGCTATATTCAAGTGTTTTTACGTAAGCTGCAAAGTGATGGGATCAGGGGGAGTTGTCTCTATAGTTAACACTCCACAATACTAATTTCATCTTCTACATGACTGACTAGGAATATCGCGTGTTTCTATGCCTCATCATATTTTCCACAAAAATGTCTATTAATTAATCAAACGATACATATCTATAAACAAGCAGCATAGATACGAATTGTGTGGGTGAACCTTTCATTGATAAAAGTTGATATAACGCCCACTTTTAGCATTTGCAATCGATAATCAGAGCTGTGACAATCTAGACTATCTTCCTGCTTTAATTTATCATAATATGTATAGGTAATACAAATAAAGTAAACTAATAATATAGCAATTACTAGAAGCCGCATCCACTTTTGATCAATAGAAGATAACTACCTAACGCCATCATCAAAGTGTCAGTTTGGTGCATCTCCATGAAAATCTGTGCCATGATTTGAATTTTTGATCACATGCGATCACCTTCGCACACATTTTCTCATATATTTCCTACACGTCTTTACCCAGGCATTTAAAAATTCATTAACAAACGGATGTGCAACTAGCGCATTAATGGCCAAACGACCTCCGTCAATAACTGTTAGCCGATATAACGCTATTTCCTACATTCTACATGCAGGCCAAAAAAAAACCAGCTTTTAAGCCCCGTCGCTCTTCGTACATTGGCCTTTTCGGAATGGCCAAAAAAAAACATAATAAAATAACTACTTAAAGTGCTTGAGCACCCAAAAATAAACAACGGCCTACAAAATCAAATGGGGAAAAAGAGAGGGAGAGGGGGGCAAAGAGAATGGAGAAAGGAGGGGAGAAGCAGAGAGACTCAAGCAAGGCGAGAGTAAGTGATCTCAGAAGCCGGCAAATGCAGCGGCAGAAACAACAATGACACATAAAAAGCTCAACAAGTTGTGCCCCAAAAAGAGAGCTAAACACAAATAGAGAGCACGAAAGAGAGAGCCGAACCCCCACGAACCCCAACGAAACGTGGCACGAAGTTATTGCTGCAGTGAATCAGCCTTTGCTTTTTTAATTATTCCATTTTCTGGGTCTTTTTGCTCATTTCGCTTTTGTGAAATTTATCGTACGATGTTTTTCGACCAATCAGCGCGTTTGTTTGCCATGCCCAGTGACGTAACGGTTGGAGGACGCCACGCGATAAGTCTGAGTGTTAGTGTTTGTGTGTATTGCATTGCGGTTGTGGGTTGACGAGAGAGGCGGTGGCGGGTGGGGGTGAGAGTGGGGCTGGTCTGGGTGAGGCATTCCTTACAAACATATAAGTACTTATAAATATACTTATGTGCTTGTTTCTGTCATATTCCTATCTCGCACACTCAACGGGTAATCTGGTTCCACGCAAGGAATTCCGATTGTTTATGGGCATTCTTAGCAAAAATATAAGAAAAAGGTAAAGCGTCCATGAGTACGTAGATACCCTACCACAATTCCGCCATTCCCCTAGACATCCCCACGTTCGGGGCAGATCCGTTGACGTATTTTTTTTTTTAGCCGGCTGGCGCATTTTAAGAACCTGTTTGGATCTCTCGTGGTCTTTCCTCTCTTCAATGTGTTCTCTTCTGTGCTCAATAAAAATGACAGTGCGATACACAATACTAGGTGATAATACATATATTATCTTCAAAATAAAAAGACTCTAAAACGACCTCCCTAAGCCGAACTTTCTGGAACCCAGACAATGATAAGTGGTAATTAACATAAGCTTTAACAATTCCATGCCTATTACTTAAAATTTCCATAGCTGGAAATTTCACTGCAATTTGAATTTTGTAGTTTGGAGAAAACAATTCCGAAATTAGAAGTCAAAGTTCTGCCAAAAAATGTTTGTTTTCGTTATTTTTAAAACCTTTGTACCGTAGTTGGCTTGGCCATAACTTACTCAAACCCCATTTTACTGTATTCCGAGGGAAACTCCAGAACGTTGATCCATTTAAAAGCCAATATTTATAACCAGGCAACTGCAAAACCCACAACAACAAAAACTGGACTCTCATTACCATGAATGAAAAAGTTGTTTGTGACTGTTCTCATTCTCTCCCTTCCTACCGCTTTCTGCCCACTATCGCTCTCTCCCTCTGTGGCGTCTGGGGACGTCGGCCTTGAAAAATCGCGCGATTTGCAGGCGTAAGCTTTAAAATCGGACGATGATTAAACGAATATCTGACAGATACGTATTTCGTCCACGGATTGAAGCCAAAAAAAAACCAAAAATAAAAGAAATACCGAGGCTGTGACTTTCGCTTGGAATGCATTTGAATGCTCGAATTGTTAAGAGAAAAACTTTCTTTTCAGTGGCCAGGTGGAAATCAATTGTGAAAGCGCCGGCGCCCAAGGAAAAGAGTTGCCCACCGAGTTCCAGTCATTCCCTACCCCAACCTTTTGTACTATTCTTCGTTCATTTTTTTTTTTTTTGTTTATTTTGTGCATTTTTCCTTCGTTAATTTAATTTGTTTGAGCAAAAAGTGTGCACTGCACTTTGCGTAGGTCGTTGACCTAGATTTACATATGTATAATGCAGATTGTACATGGCGACGGAATAGAACCATTGACGTCGAAAAGTGTGCAAACCTCAAACACAAGATATGCAAAGCAAAAACCTAAAAAGCTGCATTGGATACACACGTCGGAGGGGTTTCTGAAACTTGAGGAGCTCGCATTTTTAACCTATTCAAATTTTTAAACACACGCAAGAAGTCTTTTCATAATGCAGTTCAATAGCTAACCTTTTGGTTGGGCCATTAATTTCTGCACATGCATACCTGTCACGTAGACCACTTTTAAGTAGGATGTGATATTAGGACTTATTTAAATTGAAATTGTTAAAAAAAAAAAAAACATCCAACCTCATTTTCCAAGGGTATTTCCATTTTCGAAGTGTCAAGGCATTGTTTTTATCTCTTCTGTTTATTATTATTTCTTTCTTCAGCTGCGATGGCTGCAAAATGGAAAGTTTTTGTGTATCTCTTTAAAAAGCATTTCAAGCGGAAATAAAAACCGAACTCAGCGACTTTTTACAAATGCAAAATATGCACAAAATCGTAAACATAAATAAGGCAAGAGAAAGAGCGATTACATTGGGTTTCGAAACATGAACAAACAACAAACCAAATCTCGCAAGACTCTAATGAAATCTGCTACCAAAATCTGTTTTCGATCAATGGACGTAGACAATTATTCAGATATTTTTCCTTGGAAGGGGGCCAAGAAAATTACGTCGGAAGCACAGCAGAACGGAATCTTTGCCTATATATCTCTGTCTTGAATCAGCCCACATATCTGTTGACCAAAATAACTGACAGAGCTTTGGCCGATCAAAGTTCGCTGGCGGTGCAGAAAGCGAAAATTACTTGTCAACAACAGAGCAAAACAGATCATGAATGAAGGGGGCCCGAAAAGTCTTGCCAAAACCCAGTGGGCATAACATCAGGCCACCATCTTCGGTACGAGCTCAAAAACTTTGGCAAAAATTCAGCAGAGTCGGAGGTCGCAACCAAAGGCCAAGACGCACTTAAAATTATAATTAAATGCATTCCATTAGGTGGCCAGACATCGCGTTATACTGCTCAAGTATATATGTATATACCGTAACCGTAAACGTGGCTTTGACGAATGTCGAAATTCCCATGAAAAAGGGCAGGCCAACAAAATCAAAACAAATATACGGTAATCTAATCACTGCAAAGTGGTCAAAACCCATTGCCGACTCCACGTGCAAAGCCCTGTGCTCCAATGCAGTTTATTGTGCAGCGGCTCTGGTTTCAGCCACTTCTTGATAAGGCTCGAATAGAGGGGGCTCCCGTGATAACATCGCCACTGGAAAATGGCAAAACAAAAACCTTGAGTGGCCGGCCAGTGTTTATTTTAGTTTTTATTTCACCTCGTGCACTCAATGTTTTCAAAACAAACACAAGTTTTCCAATCAATTCGGCACACATGGAATTTTTTTTGGATATCCGGCACAGTGAGTGCGATATAATTAAATATAATATAAGCAGTGTTATTGATGGAAGCCTCGCTGTCAGTTTGGTATGTAAATGTTATCGCCCTTTCTGTGAGTAATTCCGCTTCCTGTCTGATTAAAAAGTCGTACGATGTTCTTAGTCACTTTTTTCTGCCATTACACGAATTAGGGGATTATGAGTTATGGATCAAACATGAGGGTAAGATCGATTTCTAATTGCCGCCGAAGCAATCAGCTGATAAGTGATAGCCTGTAAATCATCGTTGCAAATTATTTGCAAGTGCAGAGACAGTAAATGAATTTATCGCTTGCCCTTGAATGGAAAAGTTCTGCTGACTCGTCAGAAGAAACGCAAGTTCAGGTTCACAAAGGCTGTGAAATCGGAAAATTATAGTTATTATCTATCAGTAATGAGACAGGCAAATAAAACTGGTTGCAGTGGACTTGTGTAAGCGGCAAGGGGTGAACAATTTAGCTGCTTTTGGCCATAACTTGTTCAAACCATACATTTATCGTCGTTAAACAAGTTTCCATTTAATTTACACTGGGTTTTGTGTAACTGATTGTGATACAACCACCAGACAGCCACTCAGCAATCTGAAGCCCACTACTTCTCCGTTTCTAGACAAAAATAAACACGGAAAGCTATTTCAGTGGGAAGAAGTTCCCAGTAATCAACAAGTGTCCAATTGAAGCTGCCCGCATACTGGAATCCCATGAATTAAGAACCGTTTCTCAGCTAATGCTTGTATTAATAAACACTAATTTATATGGGCGGTGTGTCCGAGTTTATTTATAGGCCGCAACATGCGATTACCCGCTAATTGTCACGCGGGTGGGGACTTTCTGATTAGCGACCACAATTCCCCGATCACCCAGGTCAGGTGCTATAGCTTTATTCTTTGCATTTTATCGCAGCCGAGTGATAGAAATAATATATGTATGTATGTGCGAAATAGGGCTTGATTGATTGCCACCCAGTGGAAATGTCCCGAGTTTTGGATGCGAAGAGGAAGCGGATCTAATTATCGGCGTTTCAAGTGAACGATAAAGCGTATACCCGTATGTCTCCCTTATAATATTTTTGGATCGCGTGAATCACTTGTAAGCTGATTAGTCACACAGTTAAACGAATTCTACGTTTGTATGCAATCTTTATGATACATTTAGTAAACAAAAGACCTTATATTATTGTTTAAAGATGTGTTAGTCTTAAAAAAAAATTTAATTTGAACACATTAAAAATATTAAAATTGAAATGCAAAGGAACTAGATTTTTTAGCCCGTTTAATCTTTTCTCGACTATAGTAAGCGTCTTCCATAACGTCAACAAAGTTGGTTATCTGGTGCGGAAACAACATCCCACTTGACGTCATTGGGAGGCAAATTTTGAAAGAATGACTATATCAGTTCCCGATGGGGTGATCTTTATGGATACTCTTGGAACCAGGAAAACTCACCGGCGATCGTGAAGCGGTCCATGTAGTTGATGAGGTTGACGAAGCAGAGAACTGGGACGGTGAACCAATGGGACCTTACCACGGAGGCAAGGCGCGAAGGTACGGCCGCCGAGGGAGGGATGCCCCCTAAATCGCCCAGTGGGTGGTGGTGGTGGTGATGGGGACGCAGGCGTTGACGCTCCTCCATACTGTCCGAATCCGAGGGCATCAGCTGTTGTGACGAGTAAGTCGCAGGCAATCCGTGTGGCGACAGGTTGGCAACATCCTCCCGACTGCCGCCCTCCTCCGAGGAGTTGCTGCCCCCGCTGCTCCCGCTACTTTCGATCATCGCCGGGTTGTCCATGGCGGCCGCCGTCGGGAGCGGTTGGTAGGACTGCTTCTGGTGTTTCAGCGACATTCACCCGATCCTCTCTTGCCTCCTCTATCTCTTTTCTCTCTTTTGGTTTCTAAATTCGTAGCAGACAACGCGGCAAAACTTATTTGCACACGCTTCTCACTCACACAGTGAAACGAAACTCGCGATGAAAGCGGTGGGCAGCAAATGCAAAAGAATTTGCTTGTGTGTTGGCACAGTTATTGGTTTTTCTTTATATCACTCTTGCTGATTTTACCGCAAATCAGTATATCTATGAACACCTGTTCTGGGAGCTCGTCTAATCGCGGTTGTACTTTAAAATATTACCTAAAAATAATTCTTCTCTTTTTTGCAACTTCCGCGACGCAAACTCACTTTCGTTTCCAATTGGAATCGAGCAATAAATGTGACCGCCCGGCGACCGCTAATATATACCTTGTCGGGGCCCGATGGAAATATCGATTGTACAGTACCATCGATAGGCAGCGATAGCTTCGCGATTATTAAGGTGGTCGTTCATTTTGAACTGTTAACCGGCAACATTTGTTAAGTTTAAAATTAGTTGAACAGAAACTCAAAATATTTTTTGGCACACATAAAGACTATATCTTTTCTTGTTCAGCCACATTTTTTTATGAATAATTTATTGAAAATTGGTATGTAGTTTTTCACTTCATAAAACAATAGATTTGGTTTAGGTTTAGGTTTGATTTAAATTTATTTTGGTGCTGTGCCGAAGAAAAAGTAATTAAAACTGGTGATTTCTAATTAATATCAATATCATCCAGGCGTCCACGCACCCGATTCTTCCGCTTGTGTTTTTTGGTAGGTGGTGGCAAGAAACTCTCCAGAAACTCTATGGTGTTCATAATTGTTTCCGAGCTCACATTTCCTATGTAGTTCTTATCGAAATAGACAACCGGCACAGGAGCCTCCGTTGAAAGGAGCAACTTGTCGCAGTTGCAACGTGTGTTCTGCCCCTGAACCTTTACGTCCAGGGTCTCAATTTCTGCATCTATGGTGGTGTTTGATTTATCTACAAAATTAGGGTATTATTTTATTAGTTAATTTCTTAAAATCTAACCTTTTACCCACCAAACAATGGTCGAAAGCACTCCTTCACCTGTATCCACTTGGTGCAAAACTGTTTGATGAAACTGTCGTTCTGGTGGAAAAAACTACGAGCCGCATTGTCAACTCGGTATTTCATAAATCCCGGCACATAGGGCCACTTTCCCTTGGCGGCGTAAAAACAAATTATGTCTAAAAAAATAGAATAATAATACAATACATAAGTGATTTAAAAGAAACCTTTTTAAGAACTCAAAATATACATACTGGACGTTCTTGTCTAAAATATGTAGTCTACTTTTGGGCAGATTGTTATTCTTAAATGAACATTTTATGGCACACTAGAGATCTCATTATACCCTTGCAGAGCAAAAGGGTATTATAATTTCAGTCAGAAGTTTGCAACGCAGTGAAGGAGACACCTCAGACCCCATAAAGTATATATATTCTTGATCAGCATCACGAGCAGAATCGAAATATGTATGTACGTCTGTCCGTCTGTCCGTCTGTCCGTCTGTCCGTCTGTCCGTCTGTCCGTCTGTCCGTCTGTCCGTCTGTCCGTCTGTCCGTTTCCGCGCAAACTAGTCTCTCAGTTTTAAAGCTATCGTGCTGAAACTTTCCCAAAAGTTGTGTAGTTGTTGCACGCAGTATATAAGTCGGAACGGGCCGGATCGGCCGACTATATCGGATAGCTCCAATACAAGAGAATGAAATAAACAATTCTCACTCTATTGTTTTTCATCAGATCGACTTGAATTCTTCAAGATGGCGTTTTCTAACTGTTATTGAATTTCGGATTAAATTTGATCAAAATCGGATAACTCTATCATATAGCTGCCATAGGAGGGATCGAAAATTATATATAGAATTAATGGAAATAAATTGATAACATCGTTGTTTTTCATCAGACAAGTATGATTTTTGGAATATAGAGTGTTCTTACGACTCTTGAATTACGAGTTAAATTTGATCAAAATCGGACAACTATATCGACATATTTGATGACTGCAAGGGTATATAAGCTTCGGCTTGCCGAAGCTAGCTTCCTTTCTTGTTTTGTTTTAATTTTGTCAAAAATATTATAAATTAATATTAATATTTTACTATATGTATAAAATGGGACACCCAACTCACACGGCACATGGAACAGGTGCAGAAATGTGCGCTGATGCTCCAGACTCGAGATCAGGTGGATGCCACTGGACCGGCGACTTGCCTGGATCTGTTTTCCGGCAAAGGGAATCTCGTCCACTCGGACACTCTTCAGATACGCCTCGCCCACCGTGAGTAGAAAACCCACCAGAAAGAGGGGCATAACACGCAAGGCAATTTTCCGACGCAGTTCCATAGATGGACTTTCCGCTCGACAGGAACAAATGGAACTGACGAATGTCCTGCAGGAAACGTCAAAAGCCTGAGTGATTCCGCTGCGCTTTATTGATTTTAATTGCGAGGTTGACACAAAATCCAGGCACTCGGGTCATTTGCATGTTGTAACCCAATTTGCCAGTCATAAAGGTTCATTGCACCTTTTTCTCCTAACTATAAACACGTGCCAATTACAAGTAGAATATTAAGTCACGGGAAATGCGGTATGCAAATGGCTTAATCATTAGCTAATACATTACTTAACATTTACCTGATTTCAAGATTGCCGAGAACAACTATAATTAACTATGAATAATCAATTGTAGAACAAGATCACCGAGGAAGAAATTCGATCGGAGTTCTCATTTCCGCCACACGCCGTATACTTAATTTGCCGACTAAACCTGCTACTATTTCACACTTCTTCACGCCTTTTCCCCTCAAACATTTTTAAAATACTGCATTGTAGACACAACAAACGTGTTGCAAATGAATTAAACGGCTTGTGAGGTAATGACACAACTGGAAATAGAAAAAACGAGACAAATATGTTTGTAGTTCAATAGACATTTATAGTTTTTATATAACGTAAAAACATTACAAAAATATGACAACAAAGAGAACTTATTTGTGCTTAGATTATTTTCTTACAGCATTATCTATGGTTTCTTCTTATGTTCTACATATCTTCAGCACCGAACATTTGTATATACATGTTTTGATGAATGAATCCGAGCTCAAGACTCGTCCGGGTTTCCATTGAGTATAAGGGACCAGAGTTTCACCCTGTCCGTTTGGAATTCGCTGGCCACGTTAACTTGAAAGCCTTTCGGGGAGTCTGGCGCATTGTCGAATTCCTGGTAATCGCAAACGCCGTTGGAACGTGACTGGAGCACCTCCATGGAGCAGGGGTTCATTGACTCGGCATTCCTTGGTTTTCTAGGAAACACAGTGATTCATTTATTTTATTGCTCATTTAATCTACTTTTAATACTCACCCGAACTTGGCAAAGTGCACGAAGTAATCCACAAATGAGCTTATTACTTTTGCCTCTGTGGAGTTACGTTCAAAGTCGGGGAAAATCAAAGGACTTCGGAAGAGATATAGAAGATCATCACAGTGGACAACCCCGTACTTTCCAGTAACATTGGCTGATGTGTAAGCAGAGGCATAGCTCAGAGGTCCTTTATAGTTAAAGCTGTACAGGTAAACAGGATTCGCCGTTTTGTTAACATTTTTAAGGATTGTGTTGTACAGAGGATGCTTGAAACCCCTATCCGTAATTAACTGGGATGCAAGAGAAATTTAAATTAAATAGCTTAACTTTGCAGTAATTTACACCAAAACTCTTGACTTACGTCCATAAATCCTTGAACAGTTTCCTCGTTGACTTCATGCCGTCCTCGGAAATACTCTTCCACCAGAAGTTCGGTGGCCTGGTTCGATCTCTCCCTACAGAAATCAGGTGGAAACTCCATGAGTTCCTGTAGCAGCTCATCAAATCGCGAGTTGAAGCTCTTGCGAAGGGTTTCGTTGCCCAGGATGTTCACCACCCGCACAGCTCCTTCACCTGGAACTGTTCCCAAAAGAAGAGGAACGGAAGTCTGTTGTCCCTCAGCCAGGATGTCCTTGGGATGTTTAGAGAGGAAGGCCTCCAATCCCAATCCCCTTTCAACCACTGGTCGGAAGTTGGTCATGTGATCCACATCCCAGAACTTTAGACCATCTCCGGCATTCAGTAACTCGGTGGCATCTACCTTTCGGAGAGCTTTGGTTAACTTCGAAGTACTCAGGTTCTGGGCCTCTGGAATCTGGGCGAATTCCGCCAGGAGACGAGCCTGCCTCAAAGGCTGTTCCGCAATGGCAAAGGGTACATTGGCGGTTCCACTCATGCTGATCACGCGATGGAAGAGTCCTTGTGACCTGGGACTCAACAAGTGCATATGGGCTGCCACTCCGCCGGCACTCTGGCCAAAAATGGTTACCCGTTGGGGATCTCCACCGAAAGAGCGAATATTGCGCTGCACCCAACGAAGGGCTGCGTTTTGATCCTTTAGTCCAAAGTTTCCCGGCATAACAGCATCCTGGGTGGATAGGAATCCTTTGGGTGGAGCCAAACGTAATATGGATATTTTATTACTTAAGTACTTTACACTCACCAAAGGGTCCTAGTCGATAGGCCATTGTCACCAGGATTACTTCCCCGGAGTCCATAAAGTACTCAGGTCCTGTTAACCCAGGTCCTGCAGAGCCAGCAAAGAAGCCTCCGCCGTGGATGTAGACCATCACAGGTAGGTGTGCTTTTCTGACCTTATAAAAATATTGAATTCTAATATTTGAACCAAGAATAATCCAATTGGGACTATTTTTGTATTTCAACTAACCTCTGGTCTGTACACATTTAGGTAGAGACAATCCTCGTCGCCATAAATGATGGGAGCGGGCAGCAGATAGTTCTTCTGGATGCAGTCCATCTTGGGTTCACTGGCATCGTAGACGCCCAGCAGCTTGGGTATTACCTTGGGGTTCTGGAGATGCGAATATCTCTTCTGCGTCAGGGGTTTCTTATCGGAGCTGTGGAGCCCACAGCATACTCACACTGAAGCGCAGATCTCCGACGGGCGGCAGGGCATAAGGGATCCCCATGAAGGCCTCGAACCTCTCCGACTGATAGCCCTTCCGGTGAGTGCCCTTCAGGCAGCCCACGCTGGGCGGGCACACGACCGGCTGCTCGAGGGCCATCGAGCAGGGCAAAGGGCCATCGAAAAGCTGGCCGAGAAGAAGCAGCGGCAGTAGCATCCGCAGTTGAATCATCGCCGGCGGTCCACGAAGTGACTGAAAGCAGAGCTAATGGATCATTAATTATGCATATCGATGGGTTATTTATGATCGGTTTTGGGGCTTCCACCGCTTTGTTTTGCTTCGCCCGAGATTAAAGGTGATGTCAACGCTAAAGCGGTCTCGGATGCTTTTCTAATTGGCCAGCAGCTCCTGCTGGAAAACCTCGGCATTCACTCACTTGCGAAAAGGGGGAAAATCTCTTTCGTAGAACCACACGCGACTGAGGCCCAAATCGATCTGACCGCTTTCGAGGGCTCGCGTTCACTTTAATCGTGAAGAAAAGTTTGCTCTATTCGTAGTGTCTCTCTGTCCACAATCTCGAAAAAGTGACTGAACTTGCTGTGGAAAATTTATACAGAGCACGGCGAACGAAGCGAGGGAGCCGGAGATCGGTTCACACGGCGTATGCTTGATCAGTGCGGATACCAATCGATCTGGAACTGCATCTAGATGCCGCTGGGCGACCTCAGCTCAGACTCGATCCGCATCTGGTTGGGGTAATTTGAAACACGCGCCAGAACGAGTAGAAAGTGTTATCCAATCGGAATCACTTACTATACGCTGATCCGTCAGAGTTAACGACTGGCGATCAACTGCGATCGCCTCGAATTGGAACTTTCGCTTTTATCCTGTCCCTCGCCATGAAATTTCACTTTAGTGCAGTTACAGAGAAACAAATCAATTGCAGCATAAATAACCATTCTTTTTTATGTGAAAATTTAAGAATACTTTATAGTCGCCGTAATAACCTAATTGCTATGTTTTGCGTTTCGTATTCAAGTGGGTCATTAAAACTTTTACGACTTAATCATTTGCAAATAAAACACACCTCCGACTTTAAGCACTTGTTGAGTAATTACCCAAGCGTAACCATAAAATACTTTTAAACTTCTATGTTATGATAGTAAGCCTCTGATTCCTTAACCTAATGAGGCGTAAAGTTATCACTCACTGTATTCCCCACAACCTGAAACCGTGATCTTTGCACCCCTCACTTTCGTTTTATCCCTCCATAAAACGTCACGGTTTTCACTCTCGTTTATCGTGCTCCATCCGGAGATCGCGAAGTGTATGGAAAAAGTCTCCAAGCAAGATGTTTCCCCTATCGGGCGAGATTTATTGCTCCCCGGATCGACGGCTATCTTATCTCACCGCTTGTCGCCGCGCCTTTTATTCGCACTTAATCTCATTTCTTGCACATTCTGCATATGTAAATTGACCTTCGAATGACAATTGGGGAATGGGGAGCAGACTTTTACAAAAATGGAACACAAGCACAGCTCCACTTACAATGTCTCAATGAAAATCTGGGGTATTTTAAACAGTTCTTGTAAGAAGATCCGTTCCATTTCGCAAATTAATCTGATTTATTTATCCGTAGCTCGCTCTTAAATAAACCCTTAACACGGGAAAATTGTTTTGGGAGGGTTTACATATCTCAAATCTTTAGAGAAACAACTTTTTCCAGATGGAATAGGCTGTAAGTTTAAAATCCCTTCTTATTTCTTCCTGGTATTTTTCAGTGTTGCCTCCAAAATGTAAATAGTTGCACATTTTCTGGTCCTCAAAGTCCGAAGCTTTGCAGGTAGTTCCTTCATGAAATATCCTTAAAAGTAGCAATTAATTATTAAATAATAGTTCTTAATAGAAAGTTTATAAAGCTTACCCCGTTTTGCCAAAGTCCACCATCAGTGAAGTCATTCTTTCGACCACCTTTGCGTCTTCCGAATCCTTGGGGAAATCCTTGAACAGAACCGGCAACTTGATGGTGTGAATACCATCATCCATGTGAATTGATCCTAACCCAAAGTCCTCAGTGGAAGAAGTGAAATAAAGTGACATAGACTGTTGGCCGCGAAACTCAAAAATATAGTTGTGAAGTGGATTCTCTTCAAGGTTGGCATAGCTTGCATACGATGAAACGGCTTCATATAAAGAATAATAGAAGCCAAAGTCACCAGCAATTTCTGAGAGAATCAACATGGTATCGTTTCTAAGAGCGTCCCCATGAAACTCATATGCGTCCAGTATATTTCTGACCGTTTCTGGAGGAGTTCCCTCGGGCAGAACGAGCACCAAAGCCATGTTTTCCAGAAAGTGTTCATTGAAGTCATCCATGAGTTTTTGATCCTTAAAGGTGTGCAATAAGCTCAGGACACCTTCACCTGCTCTTGAATTGACGCCAACCAACCAGGGCACTTGATTAATTCGACCAGCCAGATGAGCCTTGAAAGGATCTTCGGTCAAGAAGGCCTCAGAAGATTCAACTGCCTCCAACACAGGAAGACAGTTTATCATAGGCAAATTATCCCAGAGCTTCAAGCTGTCCACACTGAGGAGGAGTTTCTTGGGACAGACTTCCCGGAAAGCTTCGGCAAGATCCTGGCTACTGGCACTTTCCGCCTTATCAAAACCCAATTCCTTTGCCAGTTTTCTAGCTTGACTCAAAGGGTCCTCGAGGATCTTCACGCCTGGATAAAACGCGGTACCATCCAAGGACATCGCCCTCTGGTAGAGTCCTAGATTAAAGCAGTATGCGTGAAAGATTAACAAGTAGAAAACAAACTCATATTTACCATTCGAATTAGGACTGAGCATGTGAAGATGGGCTGAAATTCCCCCTGCACTGTGACCAAAAATCGTGACCTTCTCAGGATCTCCTCCGAATGTGGCTATATGTTTTTGTATCCACTGCAGAGCCAGTCGCTGATCCTTAAGACCAAAATTGCCTGGCATGTTTTCGTCGCCAGTGCTGAGAAAACCTACAAAACATATTATTGTGAGTGGATTTTTATAGCTAAGCAACCTACCAAAAGGACCAAGGCGATAGCTCATTGAAACCATAACCACCTCTTCGGTATCCATGAAATACTCAGGTCCACTCGCCATTGGATGGGCAGAGCCACTAAAGAAACCACCTGAATGTATGTAGACCATTACTGGCAAGGGATTTCCCTCCGTTTGCTAAAGCAAACAAACAAATCTGGATAACAGGTCTTCTTGTTAGGATTTCAAAACTTTGTACCTTAGGTCGATAAACATTCAGGTAGAGACAATCCTCTACTCCCATTATAGTCCATCCGTCCATAAAGTAGTTTCTCTGCATGCAGCTGTCCTTTGCGGAGCCAGCATCCAGTACTCCTTCCCAAGGATCAGCAGGCACAGGATTCTGAGAACAATAGCCCGTCCAATTAAATCCCCTTGATGGAATATTACCAAAAATAAGCCACCTTAAGACGAAGCGATCCCACTGGTGGCTGTGCGAAGGGAATTCCCATGAAGGCCTCGAACTCTCCTTTTTGATATCCTGGCATTAGAGTGCCTCGCAGGCAACCCAAATCCTGCAGGCACACATCCAAGGAGTCACCGAGAGCGACAGCTAAAAAAAATAATGATGCAACTCGGAGAAACAGCATCTTGAAACAACTTCATTGCATCCAACTGCAACTCACATTTATATCTTTTTCATATACTAAATGCTTCAATCAAAAGATCAATATAGTGTTTTCCGAATTAAAAACAGCAATTATCGAATCCTAAAAGGTTTTTATTTCTGTAAAGTACAAAAGCGAGGGTAAGCTTTCAACCAAAGCTAATCGTATATAATACACAGTTTAATAGACAACTCTTTAGCCTAAACACGCATCCAAGCCGAGCTTAACGATTAAGAGGTATAATTACAGTAATGTCTATATAACATGGCGATTTAACTAACAATAAACGATGCGATTTCGGAGAAATTTGTCTAAATTACAGGCCTAAGAACCGGAACTATTTATAGAACTAAGTAACTCCAGATCAAATGGGTGATAAATTGCGGCGCTGGGCGGCCGTAAGTTGCGGATGCCACATATCCACAATGAGCACAAGGCGGGGAAGGGTTCCATTATGCCACACCTCGTGCTCGAAGCTGTCGTCGAAGATAAAAAGCTCTCCCTCACGCCAGGTTCTAAAAAATAGATTAAATATTAGGAGTATGTTATTATTATTAAATTATTTTTCCCTACCTTTCTTGCTCTGCCACTCGAAGCGAGGTTTTTTCCGGCTCTGGAGCAACCAGGGTGAGGTGAGCCCTTAAACGGCAGTTGGTGGGTCCACAATGCGGCCACACATGCGTCTTGGCCTGCATCACACTGAACTTCACTTGGCCCCGACGACAGCCGGCGGACTCGGGAAACGTCTGCAGCAAGCTGCAGGTAATTGGCGTCCTCTGACAGTTGTCCTTCACTGGACGACCTTGGGCATACAGCTCGTACTGCTGCCAGACGCCTTTGTCGCGCAGTAGCTCCGCTTCATCCTTGAAGAATCCACTCCTTCCCAGCAGGGCTAGTCCCTCATCCCGGATTGCGCGCCAATTGAGCTGCAGTTTTTCCAGTTGTCGTTCATAGCCCGTTTCCTTGGGCTGCCAGAAGGGATGGCCTTTGAGCTTGGGTTCATTATACAGCGACCTCTGATAGAGGCTCTCAAAATATCCTTTTTCGACACCTTTTCTATACACATCTAGGGCATCCGATTGCCTGGACAAACGTTGCAGTGTTTCGCCAAGGGATAAGTAGAAGAAAGCCTCCTGGGTTCCCTCCTCCTGGGACTCCACAGCATATTTGAGATACGGCAGGGCTTTCTGGTAATCACCATGAAGTTGCTTCATAGCCAGCCCATAATGAAGTTGCGCCACTGCATTTGTAGGCCAGAGCTTCAGGGTCTCCGCCGCCACCTTTTCCACCTGCTGAAGACTGAGAGGCAATCATAAGGTATTTCATCATCAAGGCATTCTGCCTCACCTACTTGTTGACCATGAGATAGGTGAGTGAGAGTTGGTTACGCAGTCGCGGTTCCTTCGGAAAACGCTCGATGAGTAGCTCGTGAATGGTCGTCGCCTGATTGTGGAGGCCTAAGAAAGGAAAACTCCTTTAGATAAAAACCTCTAGAATTTTGGGAATCCCCTTGCTCACCCAAAAATCTCAAGTTCTCAATGCAGCTTTCGCCGGCGGACTTGAATTCCTGATCACTGGCCACCAGCTCGCCAAAGGCCAAGTATCTTTTGTGGGCTTCGATGGCATCCAACAAACGCTTGTTGCTGCGCTCCTTTTTGGCCAGCAGCTCCAAAGCTCGCGCTTTTCCCAAATGGGCCAATGGCTCGTGGGCGAATTGGGTGGTGAGCGTGTTAAAGGATCGCAGGGCTTGGGCATAGTTCTTTTGGGGTGGATATTAGTTCGCGGTTCGTCAGCCAAAACACAAAAAAACGGGTTAGACAAAGTACAAGAAACATGCAATTAGTACAAAATCATTCTAGCATAAATGAAACGCAGTTGCCAGAGACTTTAAAGATGAGCCCATGACCAAGGATTCCTTCAGTGGGTGTGTATTGGTTGAAGAGATCTGGCCACGAGTTCGTCTTAACTAAAAGTCCCCTAAAAAGTGCGTTTCTACAAGTACATTTAGTGTTAATTTCTTAGATTTCGTTAAAGAATCTTTTTCTTACTTGGCTAAACAGTTATAAGATCTAATGAACTTGACAAGCAAAACATAAACTAAAGCTTTGAAATGAGTGTGTTTTTGTTTGTGATTATCTTTAGTGATTGTTGAGCTGAAGATATATCGGAGATTTGTCAAAGTTCCAAGGATTACTTCATCTGCTGCGACCTACCTCCCTAATCATCTCCTCGTTGGCCTTGCGCAGCTCCTCCTCGAAGGGATCAACTTTCTCTGCTGGAGCAGCCTCTTTGGGCTTTATTTCTGTTTGAAATTAAGAGTCCCAGTTAGTATACAATTCAACAAAAAAAAGACAGAGAAGTGCAATTTTGAACGGTTAAGGCCTAAAAAGAGCTCCACCTTGTGTGAGGTGATGGTTGTCTTACTACAGCTAACACTTACGATCTGTTATGTTTTGCGATCGGTTTTCGTGTGTCTTAAAGTAGAGTGTTGGGCCTATGATAGCGATAACTTAAGTGATCGATCGAAAGTATGTCGAATGGAGTATGGAGTGGAGTCGGGTGGTCATCGACAGACTTGGTGATTTGTTTGTGCGTTTAGTAATTACGTGTCCAGCTGGGATCGTCGGAGTCCGGATCGCTCTCGAACTCCTTGACGGGCAGACGGCCGTACTTGGCCTCCAGCCGGCTCATCAGATCGGCATCGTCCACGTCGGAGATCTCGTCCTCCTCGTCGGTGATCTCTTCATCGCTATCCACCTCATGCTCGTAATCGTCCATGGCTCCGTCCTCGTACTCCACATAGATTCCGCTGGCGCCGGCCGACTGCTCCGGCTCCTTTTCCTGTTCCCTCTCCTTTTCCTTTTCCTTCTTCTCTTCGGTTTTCGTTTCCTTCGCTGGTGGTTCCTTGGCAAACTTGTACATGGAGCTCAGTTGCTCAAAGGTTTCGGGCACGTAGCTCGCCATTGAGGCCACATTGTCGTCGCTGTCGTGGCGCGTCTGCTCCTCCTCCTCCTCAATGTCGCTGATCTCCACCTCGATCTCTTCTTCGATCTCGATTTCCTCCTCGGAGTATTCTTTTTGGACAATGGGATATGACTTAAATTAAAACTCTGGTCTTGGCCCAGACTTATTGCATATATTTCAGATCAATTGACCACCAAATGATTTGAAAATAACTTCGGCTGGCCGAAGTTGGCATTAATAATGAATATCTCCAACCATCATCTAGCAGGGGCAACTCCTCCACATCGTCGGGTATGTGATCCTCGGCCGTGGCAATCGTCAGTCTCCGCCTCATTATAGTTTCAGGCGCGGGCTCATCCTCGTCTGTTCATTCACCACGGGAGATTCGAACGTTATTCGAGTTAAGGGATTATTAATCGAGCAAGAACAAAGCCATTCAACAATTTCCGTACATACATACATTGGTGGAATAAGTTAAACAAAGCTGTGACTACAATCAGATTCAAGAAATAATAATAAATCATAATCAAAATAAGCTAACTGAAGAAAGTGCAAAGATTAAGCTGGGATCATGAGTTCTCTGAGCTGAATCAAAGAGAATGCATTCCCCAGAATTTGTTTTAGTTCTGTTAATACATCGATTACGAGACACTTATATAGTTTTTGATTCAACCAATCGCTTGGTGGGTTAGAATGGAAAGCGGCGCTTAGTAGTGACTGCTCATAAGATTCCCCAGAGGAAGGATTATTTGTTATTCGTAACATCTGGCGTGCTTGGCGGATATAGATAGAGATCAAGATCAAGAGCAAAGAGCGGAATACAAAGAGCGGAGTTTTTGGGGAGCAGATCATCATTGAAGACTCACTTGTATTTGGACTTTTCCTTATCAATACAAGGCGTGAAACTAAGGCAAGTGCAACGCCAACGCCAAATTTAACGGCAACTGTAAATGAGTCAGGTTTTAGTATCAGAAAATAAACAAACAAATGCCTTTTGCACTTTCTTGTACAATTTCGGTTTCTGTGTACTTGTTTTTTTGGGTTTTTCTTTTTCTTTTTTCTTTGTAAGGTGGAGCATTTTTGTCTGTCAGTTCTTAAGGTTCTAGGCCTGGAATATCCGTTAACCGTTCAATGTTTATGCCTCCCTTACTTACGTGATGCCAACCAAGAGGAACCCTCTTCTTTGGGCTCCTCTTCACCGTCCTGGTTCTGCTCCTTCTCCTGGCTATCTACTGCTTCCTTTGGCTGTAGCTCCTCAGGATCATTTTCAAACTGCTGATCAAGGGACTCAAAGTCATCATCTTCTTCGTCATCGGCATCGTTGTTGTCTGGTTCCTGAAAAAAATAATAAAATGATTCAGACTCAATAAAATATTCTGTAGCACAAACAACTATAAGTTGTTGTTTTTGTTTGTTGTTTTTAAAAACAATTTATATTATTTTAAGAGATAAAAATACTATACCTGTTCATCATCATCATCGTTATCATCTCTGGCAGGAGCACTTTGGGCTGCAGATTGTGATCTTGGCGGTTCAACAGACTCCTCGACCTCTTGCTCCTCCTCGTCCTCGTCTTCCTCTTCCTGCTATACACAAGAATAAAATCACTCATTAAAATAGCAAAAACTTGAAAGTCAATATTTCATGAGCTACGAATCCTACCTCATCAGCTTCTGATGGTGGGGCTTCAGTGGATTCCACTGCATCATCATCAGCCGCAGGTTCATCCTCTTCCTCATCTTCAGCTTCATATTCCGCAGTGGCTTCTGTGGTGGCTTCTACGGTGGCCTCCACAGTGCCTTCCTCCTCCTTATCCTCATCTTCATCCTCCTCTGCATCTTCAGCGGTTATGTTTTCGCCTGCATTGTTCTCCTCATCCTCGTCTTCCTCCTCTTGTTCAGCCTCAGGTTCTTCCTCCTCTTCCAATTCTTCCTCCTCCTCCTCTAATTCTTCCGTAAGAGGTTCTTCTTCTAAAATAAGTATGGAGTTTCAATGATTTGAAATATAGAAAAATAAGTTTTCCCACCTTCCTCCTCGTCGTGTTCATCATGTTCATCATCATCGTGCTCGTCGTGATCATCATGATCGTCCAGAGCTTCCCCAGAGGGTTCCTGCACGTCGTGGCCTTCGTGCTCATCCCGGTGTTCGTCCACCCAACCATCAAAAACTTTGGAGAATCGCGATTCCGACAGAGGAGTGTCGACTAAATAACGTAAAACACATTTAGTAGAATTCAAAATTTTTGAATTTTCTGAACTTACGGTCTTCCAGTCCCCGGTTCTCCATGATGATCAGACCCACCAAACCTAAAAGTACGGCCATCAGAGCGAAGAATATGATCTTGGCGCACCAATGACCCCCGGTTCCGTGATCGTGGTGCACGTGCAGGTGGAGATCTTCGTTTCCCATCTTTGTAATGTGAACGCCGTGCGAAGATTCGTCGTCATCTGAGATCGCGCCGTTGCATGATATTGGATAATAAACACATGTGATTACAAACAGTTTAATTGAAGGCACCTTCAGACGGCGTGGGGATGGATTTACATGAATTTAGTAACTGTGCGAGACATTAAATTAATACAGCAAAGCTTTTAGGGGTTTGGTTTCAGGGGGAGATGAGAAACAAAGGGGGATTTGTCTACCTTGAAAGCTGGACTGACGGAGAACAGTCACGTCGCCCTCGGACTTGCGATCATCTAGACAAAAAGTTAGTTACAATGAGACACAACCGGCATTACAAACTGATAAGAGAGCGGCGGGGATCTTTTGTTTATGCCTAAATATGCGCAACGGTAAACAAAGAAGCCGCCAGTCATGCTCTTGGGCAGATGGCCAAGTGAAAATAAATGGCTTTACATATAACCACGGCTACTTATTCTGTGCGGTGGGTGTAATGGCCCCAGAATTTTATACGGAAGCATCACCATTTCTTGATTTTGATCTCTGTTGCATTGGACTTAATTTGCCGCCGAGGTGATTTCACTCCACCCGAGGTGAGTTCTCCATTTTCCGATCAGAGAGAGTGAGAGATAAGCGAAGAAGAAGAGAGATAAGAGGATATTCCCAGGGACGAGAAACAGCTGTAGCTGTGTATCTCGGATATAGATAAATAAATCAAATAAAGACCACTCTCTATTCTCGATATCTGTTTGCATGCCCTTCTGCAGGCCCACAAAGGCATATGTACATATATCCACTTCTTGGTCCCCCGCACACGTCATGCATATATTTTCCTGCTCGATCGGCACACGCATAGCGACAGAAAACAGGCGAGATGTATAATTTTATATAATAGGGCAAAGTTATTTTTAAAAAGGCACTCGACAATATTATTTTGCTAATAAAAGAATTGAACTGCTTGCTACGCGGCGGCGAAAAATTAAAAGATTTACACAGCACAAGTAACGGTTAATCCCGGTAAAGATTTGATGGTAACGTCAAGGACTTACCGCGTTTCCGGCGCTTATCCTTTCGCTTTCGCGGCTGCACATCGCCCGACATTTTGCTCGCAGTCACTATTTAGTATGCCAAATGTATGCCAATTCCGTAAAGAGCGGTTTGTTTTTCCTTTTCGAGCGGACCGGTGAAAGCGGGCGATCTCGATCGGCACGTTACTAAAATGCGAGTACCGCTCGCGCCGTGGGAAAATTATTTATAAAGCAAAGAGGGCTGCCAGATCCGGCGGCAAAGGTGACAGCTAGAGATAATAGCTGGGTGGCGATAGTTACTAGATAACTTGACCAGAATAAAATTTTTATAATTGAAAGAAACTATTATTATGCTTCTAACAAATTGTTCTTTTAAGGCTAATTTCCCTCAAAATTCACTCGTGATACGAAAGTTAGTTTTGGTCAGTTTTATTGTGAGTTGTTTTGGTCACGAGTAATACTTTTAACAAAAATTTAGCTTCTGCTCCTTACATTTCAATGTTTAAATAAACAATTTTTTAAATAAAATTTGTTACGTTTAATTTGTCTTAAATAAACTTTTATTAAAAACGTAATACAGAATCTCTGTTTTCAATTCCTGCGCATTGGCTGCTTGCGTGCTAGAGATGGGTGTGCTAGGGATGAGCGCACATCACGCGCCCATCTTAAAGAGAACCAACCCCGACCAAGAAAAAACAAGAAAATAATACACAATTGGCGACGGCGGTGCAGAGGTTCTCCGTGTGATCCGATCGAACGGGTACGGAACGACGGACTTGGGCTAAATCCTTGAGGTCAGGGGTCAGCGGTCCGTAAGTAATGGCCGGCGACATGTCCATCGGCTGTGCGGCAATCAAACGATCCAGCAAGCTGAGGTCCTGCACCAGTGCCGCCGACACGGACTCGATGCGGGTGCCCAGCGACCACAGGGACAATGGAAACCTGGTCAAGACGCCCCCGGTGCCGCCCCAGAATATGCGGGGCGGTCTACGGGTCTACAAGATCGTCATCCTGGGCGACGGCGGAGTGGGAAAGTCAGGTATGCTGCAAAATTCCCCAAAGAAAGTGCCGAGTTATCACTGCGCACTTTGATTGCGACTGCGAAAAATCAATAAATTATCTCAATTTCTTTTACGCTTTGTTTTGGCTAACGCCACCCTACTGCCGCCCACCTACCACCCACCGCCCCCTTAAAACGACGACGATGACGATGAAACCCGAACAGCTGTCACCCTTCAGTTCGTGAGCCACAGTTTCCTGGACTACCACGACCCCACAATTGGTGAGTAAGGCGCTGGAAAAAGTTGCTCCCAACCCTCTCTAAATGTATACCGGTTTTCCGACCGACAGAGGACTCCTACCAGCAACAGGCGGTCATCGACAACGAGGCCGCCCTGCTCGATATCCTTGACACCGCCGGTCAGGTGGAGTTCACGGCCATGCGGGACCAATACATGCGTTGCGGCGAAGGTTTCATTATCTGCTACTCGGTCACCGACCGTCATAGCTTCCAGGAGGCATCCGAGTACCGGAAACTAATCACCAGGGTTCGCCTCTCTGAGGACATTCCACTGGTTCTGATTGCCAACAAGGTGGACCTAGAGTCGCAGCGACGCGTGACCACCGAGGAGGGTAAGAACCTGGCTAACCAGTTCGGTTGCCCCTTTTTCGAGACCTCGGCTGCACTGCGTCATTACATCGACGAGGCGTTCTACACGCTAGTCCGCGAGATTCGGCGTAAGGAGATGCAGAAGGCACTGGGAACGGACTCCAATTCGGAAAAGATCCATACGGGGCGGCGAAGCCGCTGGTGGCGAATCCGATCCATCTTCGCCTTGGTGTTCCGGCGCAGGAGGAACCTCAATTAGGTCCAGGTGGAGATTTGTTTGAACGAGTGCAATATTAACCACACATACGAGTAACTTTTGTTCGCTATATACACGGAATGTATATAGCACACGCCCATCAAATACTACCTACAAGAATTTACCGATCGAGGAGAACACTAATTGTTATGGCCACAGTGGTTTATTTATTATTTGTTACAAAACTATTTAAAATACTTGTTGTCGGCCAGAAAGATTAGCGAGAAGGTAGAGCAGCGATAGAGTATATCAATACGTTTAAGCACCGATCCAAAAGATACATATTAACAATGCACGTACATATGTTTATGTAGTAAATATTACTAACGTTGATTCCTAGACGAGAGCGATTCAGGAAGTGTGGCAATTGGCCGAAGCTCAAAAGCATTTAAATTCAGCAAGATCGAAGGGGAGACCCCCCAGTGAACATTCTGAAAACTCTGAATCCTAGCCAGGAGATAAACCCAACGGCCAATTGCCAGGTAAACAGAGCGGAACAGGGGATGATTTTTAAACTTATGTATGTACGTATTTACTCAAAAGACACGCACATGACATACGACACAAGCAACACATTTAACTAATCGAATAAATGTTGAATTTAATGTATACTAATATTATAAATCAATCGAGCGACTAAGTATTTGAGACGCGGGAACATTGCAAATAATGAAAGATAAATCAAAAAAACGTCTGTTCAGATCCAAGCCCATATTAATAACGACTATTGATAATTTAAGCACACGACAGCCGATGCATTTGTTGTTTAAGTTTGAGAAATGTTTATTGTTTATATTGTTAAGGACACGTGTTATGCCTAAGTTTATTTATTATTAGTTTAACCAATCTGTTAATTACTTTTTACACAATCAGCCACACACATCACGTTCTCTAAGCATTCACCATGAGTTCCTCTCATCAATGTTAACTGCATCACCAGAAACGAAATACTAACACAACTTCAATTACTCTGTTTGTTACATGATCCCCAAGCAGTTGGTCGGATTACCATAATTACTGATAATTAAATGTTACTGCGAATCCTTTCCTGTAACCGTTCCAACCAACTACTAACCAACCGACTAATGAAAACAACAACTAAACGAAAACGAGTAATCAAATGCGGGTAGAAATATAGAAAAAAAGATTTCGCCGAAAAGTCAAGCGATTAAAAAAGTATGTTTTAAGAGAAGTGTTTGGTTTGGTTTATTGCATTCTGTCGTGTCCATGTCGTTTCGAAAACGGCATACCGGGAGGCAAAGCCAATAATATTTAATTGTAATACCTAATCGAAAGAAACCAAAACATTTTAATTCATAATGTTATGTACATTTTAAATGTAAAAAAAAAAGGAATTCAAAAGCACAAAATAAACAAAAACAAACCCCCAATAAAGATTTTTTTGGAACCCCCGTTAAACGATGTGAGTTTTTATTTAAGGTTGCCGGTGGTCTTGGGTCTTGTTGGATGTTATCCTCGTTTAAACAATCGTTTAAGTTTCTTATATTTATCTGCCCTTCGGATGTTTCCATTTTAACATCAACAAAACAAGAAACCAGTTCAATCCCCAGCCAAATAAAACATTGAATTAAACCAAGAGTAGATCAAATGTACTGTTTATTCATAAGTATAATATAGTTTGGTTGTATCTGATGCATCTTCGAGTTTTTCAACTTCTGTGTGAGAATTACACGATTGACGGTACAAAATACAAAAAAGAGACATACACATATGTACTGTATAGTATAATTATATGTATATTCGTATTTTATAAAATCATAAAATACTCTTCATATAGTTTGGTTGTTTTGTAGTATCTTTTTTTTTGTTTTCCACTCGTTTTAATGCAAAGTACAAATATTAAAAATCGCTTAATGCGCTCGAAATAGTTTGTTTCACTTCATCAAAAATTTCTCCCTTTTAGCTTCTCCCACGCGAAAACTGAATGCATCTCATTTGTGGCTTAAGTTTAGTTAAATAAACATGTATCGTTTCTTTTGTTTTGTGTTTAGTTCGGTTCTTGTAATGTAGTTTCACTTGCATCTTCTATTGGCGGTCTGCTGGTCTCTCTGTATCTGATAGATTTAAAGGGAACATAACTCTCATCTTCTCATCGTCGCCTACTTTTGCCTTGAACCTCGGTGTCCAACATCTGAATCTGATTCCACTGATTCACCTGCTGCCTCACTCACCCTCACATGGGACACAATCTCATCCTGCCACAGCCGGCTACACTTGACAACACAGATCACGATAAATAATAATTAAATAAACATCATACATCAAAAGAGGGTTGGACAGAAACGGACACAACTTGAATATGTTTACATATATCGATATATATTTGCTTGCAGTGGCTGACTGATCGAACTGCTCTGCCCTAGGGTTACAAATAATAATGCCATAGTTATTACTTTTTACTTCGGTTTATAACTACACTAGACTGTATATAAAATCAAATCCGCATTTGACATTCTACTTGATGCTGCCTCCCTTCTTCTTTTGCTGCTTCCGCCGCTGATTTTGTAGCTCATGCTCTGTTTCTGCTCATGTTGTTGCTGTTGGGTGGTGCAGCTTCGTGTATCCGATGTTCTGGTTGTTTCTTGTTGTTGTTGTTGTTGAGTGGTTGTTCAGCTCGTTATTGTTGTAAAAGGTGTGTGTATGTGTTTGTGTGTGTATGCTGTTGTTGTTGCTCTGCGTGTGTGTGTGGTAAAGATTTTCATGTTGTTGATTTGCTCTTTTAGAGCAAAAGGCATCTGGTCTTCTTCCTCTTTTTGACTTGCAGCGCGGCCCTAGTTGCCGTCTCGAAAACTTCCCGAACACCCTCCTTGGACTTGGCCGAGCACTCCAAATAGGCAAAGGCATTAATCTTCTCGGCCATGGCGCGACCCTCCTGCGGCTTCACCGGCTCCTGCTTCATTTTTGCTAGATCCTGCGGATAACAATATGATTACAACGAGTCCAATTGTCAACGGTGCGTATACTTACCCGAATTGTGTTGGGATCATTTCGCAAATCTTTCTTATTTCCTACCAAAATGATTGGAACATTTGGACAAAAGTGTTTGACCTAAAATAATAGTAGAAATTAGATATTTTTAAATACATAGGGTAAAAAGATTAGTTTTAAAAGTACAAGTTTTGAACTTCTTTAGGAAATACTGAATTTTAAGAACGTTGTAAATCATTAAAGACTCTTAAACACTCAATCGCATTTTCGAGATAAACATTTTGAGACAATGTTGACAGTACTTATAATTGTACCATTTTTGTGCTTTTATAAAATGTTTTTATGAGCAAGAAGTCTTTTAGAAAGCTTTGATAAGGAGTTCCTTATTTGGGAACGATTTTACATTTTTTTTTCTTTTTATTTTTGACAGAAACTTTAAATTTCTGGTAGCACTTACCTCTGGGGTCCATTTTTCAGGAATATTTTCTAGCGAATCGGGAGAATCCACCGAGAAACACATCAGTATGACGTCAGTGTCGGGATAGCTCAGCGGTCGTAGTCTGTCGTAGTCCTCCTGCCCGGCCGTATCCCATAGGGCCAGCTCTACCTGTAGATTGGAATAGGATAGGGTTTATGAATTTGTTTGAGCATTGCAGTTGCAATTGTGTCATCATGATGGTTTTAGACAGAGTATGGGGTATTTGGGGAGCTGGGAAGTACAAGCTCGGAGGCGAGAAGAGTTTGAGTTTAAGATAGCAAGAGTTCGAGAGCGTGAGCAAGGAACTTGGCGGAAATGCCAAACGAATTAATCACATCGAAGCGAGCCGAAGTAGAATGAATGACGTGAACTTGTGTGTATGTAAACGCTATCCAAACAGAAATACAAACAGAAACTGAAAAACCGAAAACCCGCCATATTGCGCAGCAAAAGGCAAACAGTGTTTATTTCAAAAAGCGCCTGAAAATATTGGGGATCCGAATGGAATATATAGCCAAATCATGACTTAATGCCCCATGGAAATCGTACATTACAATCGAGAGGGAAGGAGAGAGATTGCCCCCAAAAGAGAGTACAGGTAGGCAGGGAGAGGAAGAGAGTAAGAAGAAAGAGAGACAGAGAGCGGGGGGCGGCGCAACTCATAAAACTGTATGTGCGCAACGGACTTGTATAAGACAAATACAAAATAATAAGAAAAGAAAACGAGCGGAAGGAAGGGAGCAACTTTACTAATATTAGTGCTGCCAACTCTCTGGTTAGTAGGTGTGTGCATGCGAGTGTTGCTGTGGGGAAATGTGGCCAAGTGTGACTTAATCACTGCTATCAAAACTTGGGATTCTTCTTCCGAATAATCCAAATTTCCACTAACTTTTGCCAGTGGTCTAGCATTTGCAAACACCTTTGTTTATTCTTTTTTATTTGTGTCTGTGGGAATCAGGCGATATTGACTCATATTTTTACAAGAAAAATTTAAGGAAAGACGGGGCAGTTGTAGGTGTGGGAGAAGTTGTGGGTGGCACAAACAAGAGAACAATAAACACACACCCATAGCCACAGACAGAATTTGTAAAGAGGATACGCGCACTTGAAAACCCGAATGAATTGAATGCACACAAATTATAAAACGAGATCAGATGATTATCAACTGGGGTTCGGAGTCTGGGGTTCTACGACAGGGTGGGGTTATCAGGGGGTTTTGGGTGGGCGGAATTGCTCTTACCTGTTTGCCATCCACCTCGATGTCGGCCACATAATTCTCAAACACGGTGGGCACATAGACCTCGGGGAACTGATCTTTGCTGAAGACAATCAGAAGGCAAGTTTTACCGCAGGCACCGTCGCCGACAATTACCAATTTCTTGCGAATCGTCGTCATTGGAAGTTCTGCAAAAGGCAAAGGCAAATTGTACAAGTTGCAAAAAATGCAGTGGAGTCCCGAGTTCCGATTCCGTGTGCCCGTTTCGCCGTTCAGTTCTGTTTAATTTATTCGCGAAAACCGAGCGAGCTGTTCAAAAAATTATCAAAATGAAAAAGCCACACACATCCACAGTACACTGGCACACACACACGAACACACGCGCGCTCGCTCGCTCTCTTTTTTCGGTAGCTCTCTCCCGCTCGCACACACACTTAGTCATACCCGCGACTGGACAGCGATCTAATAGTCTAAAGTGTGGGGTTCTTTCTTTCTGGCCATTGCCCATTGTCCGTTAGCCAAGTTTTCTCCGGTTTTCCTTTTTTCGTTTTTCGCATTCGCATTTTCCTTTGGTCGCGTCATAGGGCCGCCCGCTTCTCCACCCCCCGCTCAACCGCTCCAGGAAACTCCTCTCGCCCCGTCCCGTTCTCGCTTTATTCCAAAAACATCTCATCATCCACTCGCGCTACGTATGTATGTAAGAGTTCGGGTGTGTGTGTGTGCCTCTTGCTGGGCGTGCGTGCATCTGTGTGCGTGCTGTGTGGAATTTTTTCACTGCTCTTGCGGGCCACTTACAATTTATATTGGTGATTTCACAACACTCAGCACGAATTCGACACTTAATTTGCTTACAAAATGGCACAAATTTGTTGATTCTTATGCGTCTACCGTTTAGCTATATCGTATAAAAGTTAATGCAATTACAAAAATTCGAATTGAACTCGACGATTTTTTCCCATGCAAAATGACGATGAACAATGTTCATCCGTTTCATTTCTTGGTAGCGCGATGAACCTTCGATGACCAACCAACGCCTTCAAGTACAGGGTTGCGTGGCGCATATCGATTGCGGTATCAGTGGCAACTCTGGTAGAAGTATTCCTCTGCCGTGACATGACTGGTCACACCACACAGCTTCTTCTTCTTACACCTGCGGTCGCATGGCCTGGGAATTTCTTTAAATTCTGGTGATTTCTGCGGAAAATGCGAACTGGCAAGCTAAGTTCGCACATGCTGAAAGAAATGCAGCTTAGTTTGAAGCTGACCGAGGACCGAGAACTGGCTTCAGGTCGCAAGAGGCCGGAAACACCTGCTTTCCTATCAGTGGCTTCCAAAAACCAGGTGATTCCAAAGACTTCCATCGCCCGCGCAAAGACTTTGTCGCTTCAAAAGCCAAAAGTTGACATGGAGTCGCCTCAAAAATCGAAGGGAAATAAGAAGGTAGCTCCAAAGAGATCCATATCCAAGGAAGAGTCGAAACCAACCAGCTCTCCAATTAATAAGAAGCCAAAGAACCATTTGAAGGAAGCCCAAAAGAGACCCATATCCAACGAAGAGGCGAAACCGCCCAGTTCTCCAACTAAAAAGAAGGCAAAGATCCATTTGGCTGTTCCTGTTGAAAATCCACAAGGAAAACATCTGAATATTTCCACAAAAAAATCATCATCCGAAGTGGTGGTCAAAACAAAAACACCAAAGGTAGATGCTGCCTTGGAAAAACGCAAAGACTTAGAGATTAGAAAAAATAAAGGTTCCAAGCCACAGGTCTCCAAGGTGCCCCAAAAAAATGGTATGGATATGAATTTTTTTCAATGCTTAAACATGTTATTAACAATTTTCCTAATTACACACAGTGGAGTCCAATGAAAACAACAAAGATTCCAAAACCAAAAGGCTAAAACTTATACCTCAAAAACCCAGGAAACAAAGCCAAAAAAATGGTAATAAACACTCAGGACCGTTAAATAAAAACAGTCTACAAATGCAAAAAACTAATGGTATTGTATGTTAATTTACGACTTTCAGTTGAATTAAACCATATTCCCTAATTACAGGTTTCATCGAGTATCCGTCCAGTAAAGAATACTTTGAAGACTTTGAGAACTATAGCTCAGATGAAGTCGGGGAGTACAGCGATCATAGTTATGAAGATTTCGACATAGAGAAAGATTTCGATGTGGATTCGGGTTCGGTAGAGGAACTTGACGATGTTGAGATTAAATCCATCGAAAATGGTAGGCCAACACTAAGTTATTTTTATTTGTATTGAATCTAATAATGTTTTAACAGATTTGGAAAGCGACGTGGACGAATATTTTTTCAAAAAGCCAAAGATTTACAAAGTCAAATCTAAAGGCAATTTAGGGAAAATACTTGCCCTACCTGCCCCATTTGATGAATTGTCAGAGAACTGCTTTCGTCCGACACAAAATGATGCTAAATGTACAGTTCGCAAAATTGAGGTATTTGAAAGTGCACTGGCAGACATTGATAGTGATGATTATGATTATGAACCAAATGGGAGCAGCGGGTCTGAAGAATTCTACAGCGAAAACTCTGACAGTGAGGACGAAAGTAGCGAAAACTCTGAAAGTGACGACGAATTCAGCCAAGATTTTGACAGTGAAGATAGCGAAGACTACGACAGTGATGAAGATTTCGAAAGTGAAGATAGCGATAGTGAAGAACACGGCAGTGATTTCTTCGACAGCGACGACCTCGATTCAACCTATGAGCCACCTGAGATCGACGGATTCTTCGATGAACCACCTTTGGGAATGCAAAAAGAGCCGCTTATTATAGAAGAAATCTTTGATGACGCTCCTGACGACAAAAGCCAGAAAGAAATTGTCAGATACAAACCTAAGGAAAATGACACTTCTAAAGAGATAATGGTTGCAGAGCAAATTGAAAGAAACTCACCTGTACAGGAAAAGATTGTAGAAGATTTAGCTGTTGCTGAGGATAACATATCAGAATCCATTGAAGAGGTGTCTAGCAATAAAATTGAAGAGACTGAAGTCACTATGGAAACCGAAGTGACTGAAACCGACCAGAAGCAGAACTTGCAACAGAATGACGCGCCATTTTACAGAAACCCGGAAGCAAATCCCACTGACCTTAGCGTCTTTGAAAACAGTCTGAAGAGCAACCATGTGCTGGCCGTGATCAAAGAGGATCTTGAATTGTATGGCACACTGGTGCTCACTTTGCTGAGTGGTCAAATTTCAGTCAACGGTTATAGAGCTCGAAGGCAGGAGACACTCACGATTTATTCACCAAAAGGCCTTAATTGGGTTTCTATATCACCCACCAAGACCAAAAAACCCGCCAAGGACGAGGTGAACTGGGAGGAACTCAACAATAACTTCACCCGTGCTCAGCTAGACAGGATTCAGAGCAGCTTTCAGAGTCAGACTAATGCAATAGTACTTCTTGAGCGAAACACTGGTGCCCAACGTCTCGTCGAGAACTTTAGTAAGCACATGGCTCAGAACTTGTTTCCGCTGGTCAACGCCTCCAATCGGCCGTATCAAAAAAGTGAATCCATGTTGAACTGCCTCATCCAATCCTCCGATCTGAGTCGCACTTTGCAAGTGCCACAGGTGTGGAATAAGTTGAAGTTAAAGGAAACAACTCGGATGATAATAGCAGGTGGAAAGGGCGTAGGAAAGTCTAGTTTACTGCGGTACCTTATCAACCGGAATCTAGGTCAGTTTCCATCTCTCCTGCTCATTGATTTGGATATTGGCCAGCCAGAAATCTTTGTGCCACAGACTGTTTCATGCACTCTTATAGATGCACCCCTTTTGGGACCTGGATTCCTGCTCAATAAGCAACCTGAGGAAGCTTATGTTGTCGGTCACACCAATATAGTCTTGTGCGCGGAGCAGTATGCTCGAGCAGTCATGCAGCTTATCGAGAACGTCCACAAAGATGCAAAGTACGCTAAGATTCCTTGGCTAATCAACACCATGGGATATAACAAAGGCTTCGGTACCGAACTGATGGCTCTGCTGGTGGATCGCCTCATTCCCACGGATCTCGTGCAAATCGGCAGTCCAGTTCCGATCAATAATTTTGATTTTCCCCTCGAGTGGAGCAGTCTGTCAGAAGTAAACCCCATTATTTTCACGGCGGAGGAGTTTAGAGTGAAGAAAATCTCCAAGTACACGCTTCACAAAATACAAAGTGCGGTGCCGCCGAAAGAACGAGGATCGTGGAGCCTGAGTGCCAAGGATATGCGGTATTCCAACCTCTTGGCGCGTCTTAGTTCCTGTCTCACGGGTAATGCCAAAACCCTTACAGACTGTCCACCGTTAAGCGTTTCCTTGGAGTCCCTCAAGATCCGTCACTCCACCAACGGGGATTACGATCGCGATGAACTGATATCCGGCATGGAGGGCAATGTGGTTTATCTTTGTCATCAAGGAACAGGACTGCCTCAGTGCTTGGGAATAGGTTCGTTTCTATCTCGAAGGCGTTTTTGTGGTTTAGTTATTGATTTTAATTGTTTCAGGAGTGGTTCGTGCCATTGACTACGACCGGAACCAGTTGTTCCTGGTTCCTGCGATGCCTCTGCAAAAGATGTCCCTGGTGGATTGTCTTATCCTAGGCGGAGAACTCACTCTGCCGCAGGGATACTTCAAGGATCAGGGTCAGGGTGTTTCGACCAGTGTGCCCTTCGTATTTATCCTTGACGACACGAAGTCCTCGAAGAGCATTCAGCAGATCTACCATAGAACGCCGGCCTTTTTGGGAGTGCCAGCAAATCAAAGAAACTGAAACTGCACAGCATACATTAAGATAGTTAGGAAAATATTTTGTAAATAAATTGAGGTTTATTAACGACTAATGGGACAAATTGTGACGGCCTTTGAGGATCCTGTTCATTAGCACACGTCTTCCTTCCGGGGTGGACATCCTTGCATCCCAGCCGTGGACATTGATTCTCTTGACTTCCTTGGGTTTTGGGAAATGGCACCGGACTTTTGGTTTCAGCACCGCTCGATTGAAGGCGTGCTTTTCCCGCACAACTAACGTTTTCGCGGTGTTGACAACCGCTAGGCAGGTCCTGTAGTGGCGTAATTCATTGTTATTTCATACAGTATCACTTGTCTATGTGTAATTTCCGTACCTTTGAATAACTCCTTGCAGCATGTTAAGTAATTTCCAGTCTGTGTGACCGGCTTTTAAACAGAAAATATCGTTTAAGCAGCTGGTCAACAGTCAGGCGTTGCCAGACCATCGAGTTCGAAAATTCGAAATTCCGATTTTCATAATATTCCTTTAAACTATACCATCACAGAAAAAAATTGTAATTTTTTTTATCAAGTGCTTTTCTTCAATAAAGATCCGAAAAGACCAAGGCTTTCCGAAATAGTCCTGGCTTTTTACTCAAACATATAAACTAACCATGCCAAATATCGAAATGGCTTAAGCTTCCCATTGTTATTGCAGCGCAGCTGTTGCAAGTGAATCCGAAAGATACATTTCGGTATATTTCCGCCGTGGATTACAGCGTTGCGCCAGTCGCGGTCACACTGCCCAGCCAACAACAACTCGGTGCCGATACGGCTGCGTTTGTTTTCTGCTCCCATTCAGCTGCAAAAAAAGTGAAAAGCGGTCGGAAAATAAGCAGCATGTGAAACGAAAATCCTCCACGCATTTATAACTCGGGGGAAAAAAAAGGCCTTCAAGTGCTCGAAGATCGTGAGTGAAGGTGAAAATAGATTGAAGGAGTTCTGCAATTGAGAAGAAACATTACTGCAGCGGTGTGTGTGTGTGCGAGTGTGCGTGCGTGTGAGTGTCGCTCTCTGGACGCAATTTCCTTGGCCAAAAGGAAGGGAAGTGGGGCAGGAGAACCCCAAACTCCCGAGTTCGAATCCGGAGTATCAGAAATAGCGCAACGAGGTGAGTGCAACTGCAACTGCGAATTGCAAACTGAAACTGCAAATGCAGCGTGCAATTCAGAGCAGAACAAAAAGAACACCAATTAGCCCTGTCTGCCGCGAGCCGAAAAAAGGCAAAAAATACAACAAGAAAATCGATTTTCCTGAACTTACAATTTTCTCCGCCTCACTGGGCAAAATTCTGGGGGGTACGAAATGGAGCTTGGGGAGCCGGCTGCGGCACCATAAAGTATACATAAATTGAATTTCGAAACACGGAAGCAAATGGCTGCACTGAAAAAATATGCGTTTATTTGTTATTAATCTTTATTTGATAGTTTTAAAATCATTCTAGAACAGATATGAGCTTTTCCAATAAGTAACAGATAAGGTAAACAATAAGTAAATTTAAAATTTGTACATGACTCATATGTGCAAATACAGAAAAAACAGAACTCAGACTTTTTTTTACCAAAAGTAGATGATCTGCTCAAAATAGGCAGAATTAATCAATTTTTACCATACGACGATCTAAGAAAAAATAAAATATTTGTTTGGCCTGCAAATTTCGGTTTATTTTACAAGCCAGATATTTTTTTGTGTGTGCAAAGGGGGTGGAGGCCCACAAAATGGGAGGCTGCATACGGTTGTTGTTCTTGTTTTGTTTGCTGGTGTTGATGATGATGGAAATACTTGCATATATGTATATGTATGTGCGTTCCAGAGGGAGACAGCTGGAAAAAAATATTGAAAAATCTGACCAGTATCCTTTGGTTCTTTTGGGCCAGTTGTCATGGCCACCGCACTTAACAAATGATTTTAGCGGCCACTTTTTCCGGATGCGAATGGGGCAGCTGTCACTCTGGTTTTCTCTCCTCCTCCACCTTTTCCTGACTCCTTCTGTCTGCCCCTTTCTTTCTATCTTTCTCTTTCCCCTTGTGTGTGTGCGTACTTTGATGACGGCACTCAGTTTCCGCCCGTACTGTGATTTTCGGTCATACACGGCACCAAAACTCCAGGACAGTGAAATATCGCTTTAGGAGAACCTGTGAGAGGAGAATGTTATTGTTATTTAGAAAAAGAAAAAAAAATTCAGTGGTCATTATTTATTCTGTAACATAAGTAAATGTGTTTATTGTTATCAATATGAAAAAAATTAGAAAAGATATATATTTTAATAAAAAAACGACGAAATAAAAACGTACACCCACAAAAACCAATGGGTTATCTAGTTGAGACTTGCATCTTGTATCTAAAACTTAACTTTAATTTATTTTACTGATTTGATTATAAAGTTTCCTCTTAGCAAGGGATTACTGTAGAAAATCCCCAGCATTACCACTCAGTTTTTGGCACTCTTTGGCGGATGTTGCGTACGCAAAAAGGGGACGACGGCTGTTCTAAGAGGGCTAGATGTTTCCTTTTCACTTCCGCCTGCACCCCTAAATTATATCTCTGTATGGGTGTTTGTGTGTATGGGTGTTTGTTTAGTGAGAGTGGCGGTTCGCGTGTCTGTGTGGGCCAGAAAAATTACTTTTACGAGCGTTTAGCATAGGTTGTCGCCTTCCCTTTTCCCTTGGCCACCAGTTAGTTTTATTTTGATGCGTTTTTAATCAGATTGCGTCAATTTGTTGCTGGGCTAACGATGAGGGCGGTCGTTTTCGTAGGGTGGGGGTGGCGTGGACTTATGGGCGCTTAATGGGGAAGCAAGATACAGTTTTCCCGGGTTGCGTGTCAAGTGCAGACCCTTTTCGCCCGCTGTTTTCACTAATTATAAGAGTGTCAGTTTCTGCTTCGCATCTAAAAGTTTGTAAGGCTTTTAGGCTTCCAGTTCAGAAGCCTCCCAGTTCACTCACTCTTGAGTAAAGTTCTTTCACGCCACTCTAACTATAGTGAATGAAGTATTTTTAATTATATGTAACTACAAATTCAGAATTGTATTTATTGTTTCACCGTTCTTAACTGGCAGGGGCGGACGCAGAAAAAAATTTTGGGGGGTCCGGTCGAAAAATTTTTTCGTTTGGGGGGGGTCCGGCCAAAAAAATTTTTAGTTTATATGGTTGAAAGGCCGTGTGCTGTAAGGAAATTTGAAAAAGTCTGCGATTTTGGGGGGGTCCGAACCCCCCAAACACCCCCCTGCGTCCGCCCCTGTTAACTGGTATAAATTCAATACAAAAAAAAATATTGAAAATAAGTAGGAGTAAAGACTTGAGCAGCCATCTTGAATTAACCGATTTAGAATTAATTTTCATTATATACCCTATAAAAGCGTATGAGTAATGCCAGTATCCGTTTTGACCTGCTCGTTAAGAATTCCGATCGGAATCCTTACACCTTAATATTTTGACTGGTTCTAATGAATATTGAGCAGTGTTTAGCTCCATAAGATAGGGTGAAGAAACTTCGTTGTTGGCCTCGTCATTTCGGTGGCTGTTCTTTTTGCTCGGTGCTTCTCCATGGCCCGTTAAAGTACAAAAATACTTGGGCCAGGCCAGCCGGAATACGAGTATCGTATCTATCATGCCGCAGCTGTCCAATTCTCCAACCAGCCGGCACTGGATCGTTGTTGTTGTTGTTGTTTGCTGTTGTATCTGCTGTCGTCTTCATCAACGCCTTTATATGTAAAAGTGACTAAGTGCGAGCGTGTGTGAGTGGCTGGCTTGAACTTTATGGCATTGCGTTGTTTTGTGTTTGTTTTTAGCATTTGCTTATGTTGTTTTTGTTGTTCTTCTCACTGTAAGCACACACAATTTAACGAAACATCGGCGACAGCAGGCAGAAATACAACAGACGGCATCATTATGCATGCAAGAGATCTTGGAGCGCATTTGATCGCCAACTCCGCACATGGCTCTCAACAGAAATGAAAACAACAACAAATGCTGCAACTCCAACGCCGTCGCCATTTTGGCCAAATGCCCTGCCTCCCCCTTCCCCTCTGTCCCCTCTTTGGGCCCTGCCCAAGACCTCAAGTCCCCGAGTATCAAGTATTAGTACCAGACATTGGCCCCACGCAAAAAATATTTTTGCTGTGACTCCACAACTCACTGCACTGCGAGGGAAGTCTCTTAAAAGTCATAATTACACCTACAAGTATTTAAATCAAGCATTTCTGGTATATAACAACCAAAAGTTCCAAGAGAAGTTTCTATAACTACTATAATATTCAACTAAGTTCTAGTAAACAGAACTTTGGAAACGGTTATTAATCGTTAATCAATAACTTCTTTTAAGGGTTTTTCCTCAGTGTGGTGCAAAGTACTGGGGAGTGGAGCAATGCCCCGTGGATTTAGCTGCTCCCTCGACGGTTCTCCATTCCTTCGGCTTCAACTTCTGGGAAGTTCTCCAGTTTCGCCCAAGCGATAATTGCCGCGTGATTTCTAATCAAATTACATTTAGACTACAATTGCTGCGTCTTTGTTCGCATTTAGTTGGCATCCAATTTATCCGTCGTTTTGTCATGGTTTGTTTGTCTTAATTGGAAATCGGATTGCAATCGCTCTCTCCCCCGCCGCAGTCCTCGAACGGCAACCCACTTCAATTATGCATATCACCAAATTGGGCTTCATCATCGTCATAGCCTAATTACACTCAATTAAACTCTATGAATTACCGATATATATGGGCGCATCTGTGCCAGCGGCTGCAACTGCCATGGCAACTGCTCCGTTTTTTTTTTTTTTTCGGGCCCCCCAGTGTATCGTGTGGCTGGGATTTTGGATCGGCTTAACACCTTTTTTGGGGACCGCTTTCCACGGATCATTGGGCAATGCGACGGAAATTGGGTTACACCTCAGTTGCCCCGGCCACCTTAATGATTTTCTCGTTTTTTGGGCTCATACCCCGCTTATCGGATCTGCATATCAGCCGACTAACTGTAACGCCCGCCACTGTTATCATATCTTTTCATTTTCGTTTTGGTTCGTGGCGAGAAGCACTATCTGTGAAAGCCATGCTAATGCTCGCCATGTGTCGCACTTCCAGTTAATTCTTCAGCTCGTTATTATGTACACAAAAGAAAGGCATAAAGAAGAAGGCAGAATAGAGTCATAAGATATACGCATGACATCATAGTTGGGAAATCGGACGAATAGGGTTTTAGAATTCAGGAGATTTTATGTACCTTCTTGGTTGCGTAATGAAGTCATAAGATAAAAATATGTTTCAGTGATTATTTGATCAGAAATCTGATAGAAACTAATCTCTTATTCGATTAAGTTGTCCGAGATAAACAAATAACTGATAAACAAAATATCGTTGTTGAATTAATCAGATAGGGCATTCAAAATTTAAGTTTCGATTTTAAGGTGAATCACTACAACATCTTTCAAGTCTTTTAATTGGTCTTAAATGGTTTTGTTTATCATTCCATATAAAGAAACAACAAACAAATTTTGGAGTACTGCTTTTCAAATACATAGATCGTTTATTTTCTTATTTGGATACCCCTCATTTATAATAATTGTTTTCTGAATTTAGAAGACTCTAGGAAGTTAATGGTAATCCAGTCATAAATAAGAGATAATATAGAGTACAAAAAAGCTTGTTCACTTTAAGAATTTTTGAATTGTATAACACCCAGCACATTTATAAAATGTTTTTAAACCAAAAAGTTTAGCTTATCATTAAATTCAAGGAAGCAGTAAACAATATGTATATGGAAAAGTTTTTTATGATAGATCGTTTTGCTTTTCATTTGGATTTTTCCTGTTTACGTACCAACTTTTTTTTGCTGAAGTCATTATAAAATGTGTTATTTTCGTTGTTCGTTTTGTGTGCTGGACTTTATTTTTTGAAACCAGAATGCGACACGCCTTTCGTGACCAGCCCAGATATCCCATTGCATTGGATTCCATTGGGCCGGACCCAAAAACTCAGAGCCAATGCGTGGCGTTGATTGAGGAGAGTCAAGAGACTTTGGGCTATTTTTGGTAATTGCATGGCCTGCTTTCCACCGCATAGAGTTTTCGGTTTTTATGCTCCCCAACCCGAATTTTCAGTCTCGGTCTCTCGGTTCCAGTTCACTGACTATGCGTGCAACAAAGCATATTTTCAATAAGACTATTTCCAACGACAAGATTGTGGGTCAAACGCCGGCGACCATATGTACATAAAATTCGTACTCTGTGTGTATAACAATTTTCAATCGGGCAACATCGTAAACAAAATACAAGCGGAAAACAATCCACTCGTAAAATGCTGGCCATCTTCATCATATTATATCTCCGTCCCCCGTGACTTCATCGTCTTTTTCATCGGTTTCCAACGTCGGAATTGTGCGCCCAGTGCGGCGAATCAAATTAATTAAAGCTGGTCGAAGGGGTTCCCTGTTGGGCGGAGTGAAAAGGGGGCTGAACTAAAGTGAACCTCTGTTAAAAAAAAGCAAGGAAAGCCACACAGATGGAACAATTGTGGTTTATTATTTCACAAGAAATCCAACTGAAAGGAGAAAACACAGAAGACAACTTTGAAAGCTAATTGAGGATAGAATAAGCTTATTGTTCCAAAGAGGATCATAAAAGATCCATACTTTTATGATCCTCTTTGGAACAATAAGCTTATTCTATGTAAGAATTAAAAAATACCGGTTTGTGTTATGAGTCAGCAAAGGTCATAGCTTAAAATGAGTCAAAACCAAGAAATGTATGTGTAATGCAAAGTAAATATCAAAAGTTTTCGTTTCATTACAAATCTGAATAGGTCATAGAACAGAAATCTAAACCTCCGACAACATTATTAAATATTTTGGCAGTTTAATTCCTAGATTAGGAATAACCAATATAATATCTGTAAAGAGTTCTTGAAGAACCTGTAGTGTCGATAATCAATTTTGGGCCAAGTAAATACACACTTGAGCTTGGACACCAAGAGAGTAATGCGTCTGGGTGCAGTGAAAATGAAAATAAATTTGTTTGTGCGGTCGCTGCATTCTGGGGTGAAAGAATTTCTTTGTTGCCGCTGCCGCCGCTGCAGAATCAACATCTTTTGTGTCACGTAGATGGGAGAGCATGGTGCACCAGTGGCAGCCAGCTTATGGGTGTGTAAATACGAGCGTGTGTGTGTTAACCAAGGCTAATTGAACTGAACTGAACTGGGGGCAACCTCAAAGATAATTAATTGCCCGCAGGAAGAGCTGGATCGCCGCGACGAGTGGAAGCGGCGATAGGAGAGGGCATCGCAAAGTGCCGGCTCTAAATGTAGGCCTCTTCTCTAATCACATTAATGCCACAACAATGACGGCAATATATAAAAGTCGGCCCACTTGAAAAGGCTGCGGTGCGTGGGCGGCGGCATCACACTGAAAGAAAGGGTTCCAAAGGTTACAGAATATGTAATATTATGCAAGTGGAACTAGTTTCAGAAATTAGCTTTTACAAGCTTTAAAGTTGTTTCTTTTGGGAGAAGGGGTTCAATACGAAAGATAAGGTTTCAATTTATTAAAAGTTCTAGATTTTGAGCTTCAAACACCAATTCTCCCCCAGTGAAGTATCATTAGCACCAGCTTCATTCTCGTCATGATTATGGCTCTTTTTCTATATTGTTCTTGTACCTTTATTAGTTTGCCTTTGTGTCGGCTCGATTTATGTGCTGACCCTCGACCCCAGTGAGCCAGTGAACCAGCATGGCTGGCCATTCCAGTGGATCCCGACTCCAGTCTCGACTCTTATCTGAACCGATGCATTCAGCAGACTGAAACAACAGAGAAACTTGTTTTGTTCTGTGTGTGTGCTGCCTGCTAAGTTATGTTCTCCCATTTCTCCGGCACCCACCCACCACTCGTCGTCGGTTTGCCTCAATGTTTTTTGCATTTGGCGCAATGCTAATTCATTTGCATAGCCAGCAAATACACTCGCTCCAAAGCCTCATTCTCATTCATGCCAAAGAGCAGGGCAAGGGAAAGGGGGAAGGGGAAGGAGAAGGGGAGAGGGATTGGGAATCGGTAGTGGGTTCTATGGTGTTCCATGGCGTATAACGAACGACTGATGGCCCCGGCATGCTCGGCTGCATTTTAAGTTCATATACGCTGGCATGGCACATATAGCCAGAAGAAGAAGAAGAAGAAGTACTGAACCGTTTGTATCGGTGGCATATTGCCGCCTGACACTTGGGCCACCGCCACCTCCTCCTCCTCCTCCAGCAGCGCCTCCTTTCCCCATTTCTCATTGCTATTCCAGCTGGGTCTCCACGGAGACGGAGGTCTTCAATTAAATTTAACTAGAAAGCTGGCAAACACACTACGGAAAAACAAATGATGTTTTAGTTGCGCATGCATAAGCAATTATATTTTCCATTATTTATGGCATTCAATAATTCATTCGTCTGAGTAGAGAAAAGGCATTCCTTTGATATCGATTTCAAGCGACGATCCCTGTTGTCGCGCTCGCGTATCGCGCACATTTAATGCCTCAATTAACGCATTCCCATGCACTCCATTTTCCGCTGCGTTTTTATTGCAAGTCACAAACGTTAACCCCATTCGCCCATTCTGCCATTCGGCCATTCGGAATGCTGCGAATTGTGCAATGTTTTGCTCCAATTTCTGTCCCCAACACAACACATGGTCGCCTCATTTAACCCGGGCAAAATGGTCTAGGGATTGGGGTTGGTGCGGCGATAATGCCTGCGTTGAATGATTATCGAAGAGTTATTTGGGGAGTGGCCGAAGGGCTATAAATAGGAGCCGATGATAAGCCGACAAGCTTAGGAGAATGTAAATCGAAATGGGGGGATGCATGCTCAATGAGGGATTAACAAATTTATGGGAATTACTCCATGGAGTGGACCGACATGAAAGGGGCGTTCTGATTCAAATTTCATATTCACTGCTCAACTGCTGAACAGAGTGAACACTGTTCTGTGGGGGATAATTGAATGAGAATGGGAACCTGCTCTTAATATTCCATAAATAATACGGAAATTTGTTTAAGTAATAAGCCATTCAAAATTAGGCTGAATAATTCATAATCAAATAGCAATTGTCTATGCGTTTTCTCTTTCACTTATCAGACAGATCCCACAAAATACGGCTTTAATTAAGTGCCCCTTTCGGCTTGGACTTTCCAATTCGTTTTCCGTTCGTTTTCGTTGGTGTCTCACCAATTACCAAAAAGATCATGTGCATCACGTTAATCAAGCGTTAATTTTCCCCCCCAAATACAGGAAAAACAACAACACTTAACAGTTGTTTATGTTAATTACTCAGCGGAGAAAAAGTTGCAGCAGCATAAACACAAATGCTCGAAGCTCGCAGCTTGCAGCTCAAATTGGGTTTGGGTCGGCGAACCCGGTCGGCAATTAATTAGCATAGGCCGTGTATGGCATGGCACCCTCCACTCGGAGACCTTGCGCCATAAAATATGTCTAATAATTTCCCATAAATTCCATTTGCAGATGGTGAAGGCGATGACGACGACGGCGCTGCTAACGAAGAAGATGATGTAAAAGTCGTATCGCCACACATCCCCTTTCTCTTCTCTCCAAACGAAAGCGAAATCCCAGCTGGGAAACTCTAGCTGAAAACGAACCAGAAACCAAAGCCCACGACTGCCGCTTTGGGTTTCGCTGGACTGAAACCGAAACTGCATTCTCCGGACACTCATTTATACTCCCCATATATATATATATATAACGAAACATATCGCGGACGGAATCGAACATGAGATTGCCGCGGTGCTTATCGGCCAGTGGGAACCTGCCGGTGCTCCTCCTCCAGGCCATCTTCTCTTTGGTTCTCGCCGAGCGGGACTTCAATGTCAACGACTCTCAGGTGAGTAATTTCCACGGAGGGTCAGTCAGAAATCAAATTGGTGTCACTGGCGACCGGGATTTCAGACTGTTTTGATTGATGGATGAATGGTTTGTTCGTTGAATTTTACAGTCGCCATTCGCAAGATTAGATTGCCGCCGCGATAAGTAACATAAATAGCTATCGTCCATTCAATAAAAATTCTTTTCAGTTTTTTTTTAACTCAAAGAATTTGCTCTATATTTTTTTAATTATTCATGAGCATATAATGTAATACTTTTGCATTACAGGTCCCTGTGATTGAGCCAAAGGATGTGCCCGCCTACAAGCAGGATCCGTATGTCACGGAATTGATGAGCTGCCAAAATACTCAGAGTGAGATCGTGCTCTCGCTCCTGCTGAAGAAACACGATTGGAGCGAGCTGACTGCCGCCAAGCGATACCATGTCCAAGCCAAACTGGGCAAGTTCTTTGCCATACCAAAGGTGAGCTGGCCAATAAAGTTTCCCTCTTAGGGAAATACTAAAGTTGATCTCCTTTTTAGGAATTCATTTCCCTGGACTCGGTGTCGAAGCGGGAATTGAGAATCATGCACAAGTTGGCCATGCGGAAAGGAGGCAAGGGCAATAAAAATATCGAGACCCTTAATCGTCGCCTGGGACGCGCCAGTTTCTTGGTTCGTATTCGTTGATTATTTACTTTAAATAGGGCATTTTCGATTAATACTATGAATACATGTGTTTTGCAGATCGGCTGTGGTCCAAGCTACTTTGTGATGGGCGAGCCAATTGCCAAACAAATTGCCCATCAAATGAAGGATGGCACAATCGGTGCTTTAACGGAGGAAAACTTTGGCCTTTGGTTCATTTGGCGCAAGGAATTGAAATCAAGGTATTATACTAAATATATTAAATGTTTATCAACTTGGCAATGTAATTTATATAAATAAACTGGGCACATATCAACTGATATTGCTGGAATACAAAGAATTCCAAGAACAGCGAGAGTGCATTCTTGCAAAACTCGATAACTAATCGTGCGTTCAACTCCAGATCAAACCGCAAACGCCGTCAGTCCGAGGGCTCTGGTGCCGAAGACGATGACTACGACTACGGAGATGACGAGGAGGAAGTGTCGTGAGTACAAAGCGATCACCTGAATGACAATCTTGCTGATTCCGGAAATATTTTTGATTTTAGTGAGCCCAGTACGGAAGTGCCGCCGGTGACCACGCATGCGCATCGACATCATCACGGAGCGGTGAGTGCTGGGGCCACTTTGGCGCCCTTTCTTCATATCTGTTTCGGTTTCTCTGGGTGTTTTCTTTATCTGATACATACGTTTAAATGAGAATACCTGCGGTTCATACTTGTTGGTTAACCACACACGCTGACATATATGTATGTATTACGTGTATGGATCTGTATGGATCGCGTTGGACTTACTGTCTAGATTCGTTTCTGGTTTTTTTTTTTTTGGTTTTTCGATTTCCGGAAGCCTTTGGTTCTGTTTGTTTAACTGCACTTTTTCAATAACCGCAACAATGATATAACATCCAAGCCACAACACTACACTTGCATCCAAATGGAACACCCACAAAGAAAGAATACACACCCACATTTGTACACTGAAAATAACTATAATTCATCATACGGTGTTTACGTTTTTTCTTCTCTTTTTGCTATCTTCCTCTCGTTCTCTCACTCTGTCTGTGTATATCGATCTCATTGTGTTAATGTTATCAACCAACAACCAAATCAATCGAACCAAATATTGTAAAATATGTTAACCCAATCGAAATCACCGGGAAATCTAACCAAATCGAAATCGCATCATGCACTAACCCCAAAAGTCGGAGGACTTGGAAAAGATAGTGTCGCTCGATTCCGTCTCCTCGTCGTCGGCCGTGCCCTTGGTGGTTCCCAACGTGGAGGAGGAGATCGAGGAGAGTGTCTCCAAGTTGGAGTCCGTGATCAGCAAGACCATAGAGAACACGAAGAACATCAAGGAGTTGCCCGTTCTGGGCGAGGCAATCGATGGCGAGGACGAGGAGGAAGTGGAGTTGCAACAACTGGGCGTTCCACTGGCGCCAGAGATCCTAGCCGAGGTACTTACGACCACCGCCAGAGCCACGGAATTGGTAAAGCCCGGCTATTCGGAGGAGAACGGAAATCAGGTGGACTCCGCGGCAATTGCTGTCCTCGATGTGGAGGCCTCAGCCACGCCCACTCCCGTGGTGTCGGCGCCCGAAACACAAAAGCCATTCTCACCCTACGATGCCACCTCCTCGGTGTCGTCGTCGTCGTCATTGTCATCCTCATCGTCCGTATCATCCATTTCATCTGGCAACGAAGCTGGAGAGGATTCCTCTTCGCTGTCGCCCATCCATACGCCCTCGTCCCCGCCCACTGCCACGCCCACAAAGGCGGATAGCTCCACCTCCGGCTCCGCCTCATCATCATCATCTACATCCGCATCCGCATCGTCATCTCCATCACAAGCCACTCAGCCAACAACAACAAGTACATCATCAACAAGCACAACTACAACAATATCAATCTCAACAACAACAGCAACATCAACAGCAACAACAACAACATCTCCAACAACAACACTGTCTGAATCGCCAAAGGTAATAATGTCGCTTCTGTGTGTGCGTGTGTACGAGTGTCCTTTTGCCACGCCGTTTTGTCTGTCTGTGTGTGTGTCTCTCTGTCCCACGTCCTCTTGTCTCTTTGTCCCTCGTCGTCACATGTAAAACATTCTCCACTGCCATCTTGCTTTATTGTCAGGAGTTAGTTTAGCTTATAGTACAACTCTCTTTCCATCCATCCATTGATATTGTGTGTGTTTTTATTGCCTTTGTCCTGTGTAAATGTAGCCTCCCATAAAAAGCCAAACTCCACAGAATAGCTGAGCATTTGTGTAGCTGCCGTAAACGATTTTAGTGGAGTTGGCTGGTAAAAAACATAAACGTTAGCTAACTAGATAGAAAATAGTCATAAAGATTAAGTGTACATACTTTTTGTATAGCTGCAGAAAGTTTTTGCGTAGCAAAGGATAAAGTATTTATTTGTATAAAACTATAATCTTTAGGATAGTGTAAGGGGTATTTAGTTAAGCTGCAAGTTTTTTAAAGGTGTATAATATATATTAGTAAGCAATTAACTGAATACCCCAATTGTAATTTAATAACTCTTAAAACTTATATATAATCGAGGATTAGAGTTGCTTAGGGACTTGAGAGTTGCTCCAAACCTGAACTTGCGCCCCCCTTGAGATACCCCACTCATTTTTGTTACCAATTAAACACCAAAAAGCAGCCAATTACTGCGCTTAATGAGTTCGAACTGAGCACCCTGCTTCCCTTTGACGATTTCGAGAGCTCAGCCGCAGCAGCAGCAACGCCAACTGCAACTGCCACTGCAACTGCGACGAGCGTTGTAAGCACAGCAGCAACCGCAACAGCAGCAACAGCAACCACTGCAACAACAGCAGGCGAAAGCGAATTTCATATAGAGTCCACCACGCACCGCACGATTAGCTCTAAGGTGAAATCTCGCAATCGCAAACGCAATTTAGATGTTAAGCCATAGATTTGCACCTCAACCCTGGCTCTCTACCAAAAAAGAAAAAAAAAAAAAAGAAATAATGAACCCCTCCAACCCGATTGTCTCACCGTTTATCCCGAATCCAATTATGGGGAGATTGCTTCCAGCCAAATGCACTTAGCATGTAAGGGCAGGCAATTAGCGAACCAGAGCTCCTGCATGAGGTCCTTGGTAATTGCATGTCCACTATGGAGCACTATGTACTATATACGTACCGTTTTCGTATCCGTATATCCGTATTCGTTGTACTAACACAAACACTAACACCGTAACAAACACACTCACTCTGCCTGCCACCTTAGCCGATGATATTGCAGCATGACACTTAGCCAGCCATCTGTCGCCAATTAGCCATCTCACTGTTAATGATTTCCCTGTAATTCCCAGGAAGGAGACCTCGATGCCGCCGGCAGCAGCAGCAGCAACAACACTCTGGCCAATAATGAGGTTAGATTAGAACTGTTCCCCCGTCGACAATGGAATTTGCACTAATGTTATTACACGCTCTTCGTAACAGCTTTCTACTCCTGCCACGCCCACTTCTTCGCTGGCCACTACGACCGCATCCACTCCGGAATCGAGCAGCAGTAATACGTTTGTGTCCACCGACTACGTGGAACCGCAGGTGGAGGAGAACAGTCCGCCGATCATCAAGACGCGCCTGCAGAAGCTGGCTGTCACCTCGGGCAAGGCCTTCACCTTCCACGTCCTGCCGGAAACCTTCTACGACGCCGAGGATCAGGGCAACCTTCGCCTGGCTCTGACGGACAAGGATGGCCACGAATTGAAGGCCAACTCCTGGCTGCAATTCAATGCCGACAAGAGGGAGCTTTATGGACTGTAAGTTAATACAAATTATAGATTTAAATGCAATTTGTGGCTTATTAATTGAATTGTTCTTGCAGTCCCCTGGACGACACCGTATCCCGTTGGCAGTATCGCCTCTCCGCCACCGATTCGGGCAACGCCAGCGTAACGGAAACCGTGGAGATCAGTGTGCAGCAGCACCGGGCAGTGAGGACCATCAATCACGAGATCAGCATCGTGGTCAGAATAGTCGAGAACCCGGGCCACAACATCGACTGGCAGTTGAAACTGGTGAACGAGGTGGCCAAGGTCTTGGGTGACCCGAGCAATGCGGCCGTGGTGGTGCGTGAAATCCGACAGGCGCCGCACGATCCGCACACGGCCACTTTTGTCTACTTCAACGAGACACTGCCCACCAGCGAGTGTCCCAAGCAGGAGCTCACGGATATCATCATGCGCCTGGATGCCCAGAGACTGACTGACTTGATAGAACCCCAGTTGATTATCAAATCCATAACCGGCCAGCTGATCGGTTCGTGTCAACAGGATCTCACCCGGGTGAAGCCGACGCAGCACATGGCAAAGAACGTGCCGCCAATGCCGCGCAACCAGGTGGATCGCGTAAACGCCAGTCTGGGCCAGCTGCTGGTCTACAAAGTGCCCGCGGACACGTTCTACGATGCGAATGACAATCAACTGACGCTCAGCCTGAAGACCCGGGATCACCTCGAATTGAGTCCACGCCACTGGCTGCAGTTCGATTCGAAGAACGAGGAGTTCTACGGCATTCCGAAGAGCGGCGACATTGGCCTCGAGGAGTACTTGCTGGTGGCCGAAGACAGTGGCGGTCTGAGTGCCCATGATGCCCTGGTCGTGGTGGTCAGTCCTGCTCCCAAGCGAGAGTTCGGCTTCTTCTTCAAGGCCTATCTGTCGATCAAGCACGAGAGATTCAACGCCGAGCTGCAGCGCAAGTTTGTGGAGCGCGTGGCCAAGTTGAATGGGGATGCAACCACGGGTCAGATCCAGATTCGCTCCATTACCACGCACCACGACTCCGATGGCACCATCGTGAACTTCTACAACACAACGCTCTACAAGACGCACAATCGCTGTCGCGAGAAGGAGGTGGCCGCCACCAGGAGTGTCTACCTGAACGGTGATAACAGCTTGAGGGAATCGGCCAAAAGGGCTTTGGGGCCCGAGCTGAATTTGACCAACTTCTCGGTGGTGCCGTTCAGCAGTTGCCATCGTAAGCAATCCTGTGCTGTTCCTTTTAAAGAACCTTTCTCAAGAAAATCCCTTTTCAGATACCGAGAACATGGACACCAATCAGCTGGACTACATACCCAGTCGCCCCGAGGAACCTACGCATAAATCCTCTTTTGGCGAGGACTACATGGTCACCTTCGTGCTGCCCATCGTGATCGTTATTGTGATGATTGTGGTGGCCTCGATTATTGCTTGTTGCCTGCATTGGTGTCGCCACCGAAGCGGCAAAATGGAGCTAGGTAGGCTCTTGGCTTTAAATTAGTTATATTTTTACTCTCTATTAAAATGGATCTCTCGATTTGCTTTCTAGGCGATGAAGAGGAGCGCAAATCCTTCCGTGCCAAGGGGATTCCCGTCATCTTCCAGGACGAGTACGAGGAGAAGCCGGAGATTGGCAACAAGAGTCCCGTGATCCTGAAAGACGAGAAGCCGCCACTGCTGCCACCGTCCTACAATACCTCAAATATGAATGGTGCGCGTAAAACCTAACTATCTTGTATACAAATCTATATCTTGTAATATTTTCAGGCGACAACGATGTGGATGACTATGTGCCACCGCCTTCGGTGGTCGTGGGCGGACGGGAGGTGCGCGGAAAGTCGCCGGCCACGCCCTCCTACCGCAAACCTCCGCCATATGTGTCGCCATAAATCAGTGTCAAGCGCAGCAGCCGAGAAAAACGGAAGCAACAGCAAAAGCAACAGCAACAATAATAACAATCGCATCGTATTAACCACACAATCTACAAGATATATATATATATATATTTAACCGATTTGGCACAAGTTATATGCAACTAAGCAAACTCTTTTGTATATATCCAAGTGCAAATTGGGTTCTTTGGACATTGTATTCGAATTGAGGGGCAATCGATCCCGACCGAGAAGTATTCGCCAAGTCGATGGAGTTTTTTTGGATAACGTTTTGTATTAGCCGATAATGGAGAAACAATCAATGAGTGCGGACAAACAAACAAACAAACACACTTTAAACTTATCAAGAATTACTAACACAAAGCGATGAACTATGCTGCATATTATTTATTTAGTATGTACTCTTATTTATATGCGAACCATGCGAACACAAACACATCCACAAGGACACACAAAAGGAGTTTAGTAGGCAAGCATTAGAGCTTGAAAAACCCCCACACACACACACACACACGAGACCATTTAGGCATAGCATTTAAAACTATTTGTACTAATTAAGTTGAAAGTGAAAGGGACGCAAGGCATGTCCTTCGTCCGGTTAGTAGGCAGCTTCAGGACTTTCAGCTTGATTTGCTCAAGCTGAATTGTTTGCATGTTTATTTTAGTTTGGCCAAAAGAAGGGAAAACATTGGGCTGCATTTTAAGCGAAATTTTCATCAAACGATAAGGGGAAAACTCTGAGGCAGGCTTTGCTCCTGCAGCAGGTTGGTTTTCGTAATTAGTATTTTAGTTCGTTTTACAATTGGTTATCATAATGAGAGCGAGGATCGGATGAAGGACATGTCAGGAGCTTTGATTACGTTACTTATAAGAAGCAATCAAACCCACAATAGAGCTGCCAATAATCCAGGTACGACACTCGGATCGTATTAGCCGTTTGAATACCAATCAATTCCTATTTGCCCACAAGTGCTTCCCACAGACAAACAAACAAACCAACAGACCATATCCACCAAACACAACAACAACACAACACAAAACACACACACAAAATATTTATACGAAAAATGGATTACTTAAAGTAGAACTTAGTTTTAAATGATTTTTACGCGCTCCCCTTTGGATAATTCTATATGAAGTCTTTACATTAGTTTATAGCTGCAATTGGGCAGTACTTACTACACTACCACCCGTCCCTTCCCTGAATCGAACTAATACGTAGTGAGTAAAATTGATTTGATATGAACATACATTTAACATAGGAAGTCCAGGCCCTAAGTTAGAGCAATAATTGCATGAAGGGAAATTGAATTACTTTACGAGGACGCTGATTTTTGTCGTGTAAAAACGTTCACGCAAGTGCTACGTAATTGCCTATTAAACTAAGTATAATTAACTAATTTGTGTATTTGCATAAGCTCAACCGCTGAATTATTTACATTTTGTAATTTGTAATAGCGCAAATAGCAAACCGCAACAGCAACAACATTAACAACAATCAAACAATCAGCAACGGTATCAATTTATTTTGAATAAAAAAATGCCAAAGATACGATTTAGTTTTATTATTTTGCACACTATTTGCGTTATATATTTAGACACTGCAATCACACAGTCACACAAGAGTAAGTAACGAGCTGAAACAATTGGAATTTCTCTGAATCTCAAATAATTGTGCAGATATTAGTGAAAAATCAGCAGGCCATGGTCGAGCATAAATTGCACATTCAATTAATATATTCAACAAATTAAGGGAAGCTACTGTATATTTAAATGCGAACATGTACGAATGCAATCTGTTTGCCATTTGATTGGCTTAAATTGAGCGAGTTGTACCATCCACGAAGACAAAAACAAAAAAAACACGCAGGCAAAACCAGAAAACACATACAATAATTATAATAATTATTGCGAATAACTAAACGTGAATATAGGTATATCTGTATAGGATATATGTTTGCATGTACGGATTCAATAAACATTTATATATTTTGATACAACGTCGCCGAGTTTTATTTTTAATTGCTCCATCTCAACTTCCACGTTCCATTAGTGATATACGTAATTTGGGAAAAAATTCAATTTATGGAAATTCCTTAACAAATTATGGAATCAAAGTGAGCCGGAAATCGGTGGGAGGAGTGGAGTATCAGTGGGTGGGTGCATGGCACAAAAAAAAAACACGTCGAATCAAAAGCATTGCCATAATGAAGTAATACAAATTTGTTTTTCTTGTTGCTTTTGCCGCCTAATAAAGACATCCTTCCCCTGCCCCACCCCCTTCTCCGCCTTCCGCCCACTCCAGTCGCAAGCTATTGATTCCCGTTACTTTGACAACCAATACACGCCGGATGCTGGTACACACACACACAAAGAAACACACAGAAACACTCGCATTTGCACATGCGAGCGCACATATTTGCTTGGCTTCGTTGACGCCAGCGGAATATTGTCTATCAAGTGTGTGTGTTTGTGTGTTTGCACTGTGAGAAATTAATTAACCAATTGAAAGTACTAATTAAGAAAGCTTTTTGTGTTCTTGAGATCCTTAAGTAACAAATTAGATGTCAAAAAGTATGCTACGTTTTTTTTAATAAAAACACAAACTACATTTAATTACCTTAAATAACCAGTGACTTTAAATTCCTGTTTGTGATTTAAAGGAACTTCTTGCTTTTAAAGTGTTTCTCTGTCAATTAGCTAACAGCTTAAGGCCACTTTTCTGTGAATCCACCAAACCCGATCAGTATCTTTACTCTCTTGAAAATGAAAAGCTCTTCCAGGAAAGTAATTCTTTCATTAAAACCACGTTGAACTCCTAAATTAGCTTCTGCCAGGAGTCGAATTTCTAGGAACAACTGGTTCTTCGAACTCAATCCTCTTTTTTCTGCCTGTAAGGACACTTTGTGGAGGTGGCTGACGTTGTTGTTGTTGGCGTTACGGTTATTGTTATTATTATGTAATGCAGTCATTTAATTGGTAACAAATTGTATTGTTTGGCTTGCCCGGCTGCGAGTGAAACGACATTTCTTGCTTGTTTCGTTTGTACGCTTTTACGACTTTCCCTGGAAACGTAAATAGCAGGATCTCCGCACCCCATCTCCATCTATCCATCCATCCCCACGTGTGAGAACCTCCCAGGATGTGTTCCTGTGTGTGTGTGTGTGTGGCTTTAATGCCACCCCCCCTGAGCAACAACACAAAAAAACACCTCCTGTGAAAACAGCTCTCACCTGAACTCCGACTTTCACCTGCGGTGGGAAAACAAAAAACTTTTGTTATATGTGCGAATGTTTGGCTTTTAAACTTTGCCAGCTCGAAACATTTGTGCCCGAGGCTTTGGCTTTTGCCATTGGCTTCGCAGCAATTTGCTTCTGGTTCTGGTTCTGGAAACGGACAAATATGTTGTGCTCGCATCACCTGTAATTAAAAAGTCAAACCACCGAAACAACAACAATAATGCTTAAAATAATGCCAACTGCATAACTAGATTAGTAACATTAGCAAAACAACAATGTTATGCTTTGCATGCAACTATTTTTGGTTACGGGTAGTTTAAATATATTAAACAAGGGGCAAGGGGCTTAACTCGGATTATATTTCACAATTATATGTAACTTCTGGTTTCCAATGGAAAGGTATTTTTAGAAATAGGTTGACCTTATGTCAACAAATCATTGAAATTCTTTTTGTTCAACGTATTAAAGGAATATTTTGTATTATTCATTGAAAGAGATGTCGAACATGTATTTATTGTGCTGCTTTATGTCTGTAATTACACAATTTGATTGTATAACTAGATTTGGTTTCATTTGATGGAATTTTGTGCTGTTCTGGGTGGCGGGCGTACTTTATCACTGGACGAGCAGCTGGCGGTCCTTTTTCCCTTCGTTGCCATAACGCTCATTATCACCACCGCCATTTGACCCCAACTGCTGGCCAACTTTCTCTGACATCGCTGACAGCCTTTTGGCCCGACTTGCGACACTGGCCATAATCATTTTCGGACCCACTTCGGCCTTTTTGCGTTTTGCGTTTTAAGTTACCGAACAAACAACAAAGCGTATAATTAACTTATAATCTTACATGGTGTCAGCACAGATGTACTATGCGCCATAATAGGAAACTAGGATTCGCACAAAAGATGGAGTCTCCATTGAATGTGTCTCACACGTGCACATGGATATTCATAGTTGTGGAGCAGCCAAATCCGGCATCAAAGCTCCAGCAGAACGTGCAATTAAAGTCGGCTTTTGTTTTCGGACAGCACAATGGGCGTGCACGTAGACCAAGTCCCTTTCTATTCCAGTAAAGAGATTGATTGTAGCCCGGCAAAGAGTTGAAATATTTCCCTTAGATCTCTGAAATTCGCAGCCCATCCCTTACGTTTGCTTCCCCGCATCTCGCTACGAGTCTCGCTGTTTGTCAAGTTTAAATTACATCAAATGTTTCTGCTCCTCGGAGGTGAAATCCACACCTTCTCCCCCAGGAGGCCCGTCGCCAAGTCGGTGTCAACATCCAGCAATCCGGCAATCCGGCGATCCGGCAGCGAAGATGTGGCATCCGCAAATTGAGATTAATCACAAAACAAACCCGGGCCAAAAGCTCAAAAGGTGACAAATGCCGGAACAAAGAGTACACACCATCGAACGCCGAAGTAACATATCGAAGCGAAATATTTGTAATGCCCTGGACAAACCCCGTGATTTGTAAGGTGTCCACATATCCAGCTCCACTTTTTGCTCCACTACAAATACACTCGTATGCTTTACACATTTAAGTTTCCTGCAATTTAGCAACGGCGGACTGTTCGAATCGTTTGAGAGGTCCGGACGGGACACAAATCAATTATGTTGCCACGGGACAAAGGCGGGAGCGTCGAAAAAATAATGGCAATACAAAAGGGCCAGGAGGAGGTTGGAGCACAGAAAGGAACAATGGCCAACATTGGCTACCTGCTGCGCTAATGCCGGTCTCAGACAAACAAACCCCCCGCCGATCCCTTTATTCTATTGCCTCGAAAACATACACAGCGATAAAAAATGGCACGTTTTTTCAGCAAATTAATGTAAGGGATTACGGGCTGATTCTTTTGTAAGTGTGCAATAAAACCAATTCAAGTGTTTTAACGAAATAAAGTGGCTTAAAAAAACACAAATCTTAAAGTGATTGCTGCTCAATTTCGATGACGATAATATGATTAATTTCTTAAAAGCTTATGATTCTCAGAAGCTTGTTTTATTTTATAAATATTATTTGTAATATCTAGAAGAACTTAAATTGTTATTTTGTTGAACTTTACCTCTTCCACAGTTTTAATTAATAATTCACAAAGTGTCCGCTTGAAATATGTGATTCTAAGTTGTTTTTTCTTTTTCTTGGGGACACATTGAACTTATTTTTTGAAAGTGCACACTCTGGGGCACACGTATGGTGACACGCAGGAGGCGAACTCAAAGGAGCCGCCGGAGCAGCTGGCTCTGTCAACCAATTGAAGGAGCTCCGAGGGACTGAGCCCGATGCCCGATGCCGGATACTCTGGACACTCTATTGGGGGCTTTAGGTAAATTGCTTTTATTGCACACAGTTCGTGTCGGCGTTCGAATTGCACTTAATTTCAATCAGGCGCCCGCTGCTAAGCCACTTCGGCTAATTGTTTGGCTTTCTGGCCCCTTACAAAGTCGCTTCGCTCGGTTCGTGTGTCCCAATGCCAATGTGATTTTCGGGGGCCATGCCAATCTGGAATCCGAAATCGTGAATCTCGAGTCGAGTCCTTTGCTCTTGAGCGTGGAAGAGTGTGGAAGCCCGAGCTAATTTGCAAATGCTGTGCAAGCTGCTAGGTAACAACGTCCTCGAAGCAAAGGACTCATGCAGCCTGCTCAGCGCGACTTAAGCTGGCTTAAAAATCAACTGCGGGGGAGGTCAAAGGTTGCGGGCCGGGCCGGATTGCGTGCCATCCTGCAATGCTCCGAAATTAATTGTAGTGGATGCTGCGCACTTTATAATTTCACTTGGCCCGAGTGTATATCATTAGCCCCGGAACACAGCCACTAATCCGCGCCTCCTCCTCCTCCTCCTCGTCTTCCTCTCTTCCCCCCAAGTCGAAAGTCAATCTTCTGCGGCTAATGGAAGTTGCTTGTTGTGGGAGCTCTTAGCTCAACTCCTCCTGCTTCTCCTGCTCCTCCAGCTGTTCTAGCTGCTCCTGCTGCTCATTTCCCATCATCATTCGCCGTCGCCTTTGCCTTTTGCCTTCGCTATATAGTTGCACACTCGAAGGCGCGTGGCCTGGCAACGCATCAATAACGCGTATCCGCCCCGTATTCAGATTACGTTCGCCAGAAATCCAAAACGCGAGGCAAAGTGTTGCCTGCTCCTCGGGACTTCTAGCCAGCTCCTCCGTTTCATTCCGTTCCTGCTGTTCCCAAGCTTCAAAGGCTGCGTGAACGGCTGCCAAACAATTCCCATATGGCTGGCGACTGTGACCTCATTTTCAAATCGAAAACTCAGCCAGCGCAAAGCCCCAAAGGAAGCTCGATCAACTTGGATTTAATAAAGTTACAAGCCGAGGGACTGTGCCAGCATATGGAGACGGGGCTTCTGGGTGGCACTGGCCACTGGTCCGGAGTTGTTCAGGTCCCCGGTTTCAGGTTGCCATTGAAGCGGCAACAATAAGTAAATTAAAACTAGAGCTGGCTGCATGCCGCACGCGCTTTGAATACGTTTAAGGCGAGTAAATTAAAATGAAGCATGGCGGAATGATTTTACACTCGCCACCCCTTCGACCGGAGTGCTAGGTGGTTGAGGCTATCGGGGATGAGTGGGGATGATCTGGGGTCACAGGCACATCCACTACATCCTCATCCACGTCCACATTCACGTCCACATCCACTTGTCGTTCACGCATCCGCACGCACAGCTGGCGGGGCAGCAGACTGGCGCCAAAATTGTGGCTGACTTCACAGATTTCGCGCGACGATGACGGGCCAGATGAAGCTGTGAC